AAAGCTAAAAGATTTCGCTCCCGGGTGGGCTCGAACCACCAACCTTTCGGTTAACAGCCGAACGCGCTGCCTATTGCGCCACGGAAGCACGTGTATAAACTTAAAACTTCTTATCTATTAACAAGCTCTTAAGAGTTTTATCTCTTCGAAACTTTTTAAAGAAAACTTAAAGTTCCTCTGCAGGTTTTTCTGAAGCCAATGGAATCTATATATGTCCCATTCATCTACGAACATTTCAATATAAGCAAGGAGGAGGACCTTAACGAAACGAAGGTAAATAAAAAATTTTGCAACACCCTCCCCCTCTAGTGAGCTGATATATGTTTCGTTGGAATGCAACCGCTCTGATGTTTGAGAGAGTAAGAATGCAACCACTTCGCGCGTAAGACTGAATGAAAATGAATGACCGTATCTCGTGAAATCATTTTTACGTGAGAATATTTTCCACGTAAACCACGTAAATTATTTTCCCAGCAACGTATTTCACGTGAAAAACTTTCTCACGTGAACGCGTGAATCAAGTAATGTATGTAAACACAAGATATTTCAGGTACTGTTCCGTCGCTGGGACAATGGAGAGCCTGTGTCCATTTTGGATTTGCGTATTGATCAAAGGCCGTCATGTGTTCATCAGACAATTCGCTTTTACTCGGAAGCAGCTTGCCAATTTCAAAAAAACTTGTTGATTTCGGGAATCAGAGGAAATCGTCGGATTCTCTCAATTCGATCAATAGATCCAACAATCAAAGTTGCTCTGAGAAACCGAGGAGTAGAACAAGAACTTGTCATAAGTGTGGGTTGTTTCAGGAAAGATACATACTTACAGAGCTTTTCAGGCTTTTTGTGGTGAAGCTGGAAGTAGCCGTGTTATTCCTCTGATACTGTATGCAGATTCTTATATGTATAGGTATAATGATAGGAAAGTAACTTTTTGAAAGTAAATCACTTGAGAATGCTCTCTGTGTGGAGGATAATCGTTCATTCGTTGGAGCGATGTGATATCCATTCGACGTTAGGACAGGAGACGAAAATCTCATTAACAATGAAGAGGTGCGAAAAAAGTTTTATTAAAATGCTTTTTACAATTAAAATTCATATATTTTCTCTGGCTTGTTCAATTTGTGATCAAAAGAGGTTGATCAAACGAATTGATATATGATAAGAGAATAAGATGAAGCTTGAATTCGCTCGTAGAAAATGCAAAAGAAAAAAGTTTTTTTTCTAAGTTGACCAAGTAGCGAAGTATGATCTAGCTTTTCTATCATAAGTTGTTGGAAGATAAATATCTTTGGTAGTACAATAGAGCTCTCTCCAATCTTTAAAGCGACGATCCCAATAGCTAGGTGTAAGCCAATATGTATCAAGCGTGCGATATGGGATTAAACCTATAACAATGATAACATATATATACATATAAGGATATTTTCAAATACTTTATATTCTATGGATAATCAATTATATATAGTTAACGAACCTATTTGATGCATATTGATTGATTATGGTATATAGGGATAAAGGTTTAACGATAGAGATAAAGAGGCGAGAAAGGATTAGTAGTACCATAGAGGGCGGGCTGCAAAATACAATTTTTAGATATTATAAACTCAATCGTTATTCTATTTATTTAATTATCCACAGAAACTAAAGTATTTTGTTAGTACAACACCCTACCAGCCTTATACATAGATAATCCTCTTCCAAGAGATGTTGATAAGGAATCCATCAGATAGGATCTGAATATCATGTTCATGAATACAGTATACTTCTAGATGTACCTGTAGGGGGTGTAGGTGGAGTTCAAGTATCTGTAGAAGGCACTGTTGGTATAACGGCGAGAGTATGATGGATAATCGTAGTCATACCTTCAAGAATGCTTTTGTTTTAGATTATCAGAGTCAAAGCTTACGTGTATCCCTTGTATCTGGTCCAGTAGGATGAGGCTGTGCTCCAGTAGTAGGGGTTGGGAAGGTAGTCGCTGAAAGTTCGAAGGTTAAAGAACACATGAAAGTAGTTGATACCTGTAGTAGTAGCGTCTCTTGGGGTACATGTATGATGTGTACAATGGTGAGAAATAATAGTAACGATCGTACCAGTAGTCATCATACTGGAAAAATGAACAGATTCATAGCTTTTGACAGTATTCTTACCAAATCCCAATCACGACGCCAGCGGTATGGGACAGTCTGGTAGACGGTATGCCATTGAGGCTTGTACTTGTCACTGTGACGGAAGTAAGCAGTCAAATCCGGAACAGAGGCAGTACGAGTAACCTGAAAAGCATGTTATAACTCGTTTCATGTAAGCGTTTGAGTTGCGAATAGTGTAAAGCAAATGCTTGTTTTGTTTTTGTTAGTATTAAAGTCTGAGAAGATGAATTACCAATAAGCGAGGACGTTCGAGAGAACGAGAGCGAGGCAAGACAACGCTTCTGGTCCGCTTGAGACTATAATCCGTCATGTCGGTGTAACTATAAAAAGGAAAACATTGGAACGTTTAGATAGAGGTTTAGAAGAACTTAAGCGAGCGTTTGGGGGGAAAGAAGACAAAACTCAAGATTTCAATGATCAACAGATGTTTATTTGTTAATGTGAGAAGAGAATGAGAGGGAGAAGAAGCTCCTCCTCCACCCACACATAGGAAAAGATTTCAACTTTCGCTTCAAATCATTTTTCAAATCGAAATTCTATCTCTGAATGAACTTAAGTTCTGTTGGATGAGAAGATAATAGCTCGGGAAGGTAGTTCAAGACAGAATGGCTAACAAAGAAAAATAAAAATATTTGGAATGGAGAAGATGGGAGAGAGGTGTGGTGGAGAAGGAGTGTGAGAGAAGGAAGGGAGATATGCCAAGTGTAATATCCGTTTGAAACGTTGATGAAGTTTCTTTATAACTAAAAGAAACATCTATATGTGTTTCATATAAAAGTTTTTGAGAAAAATATATAAAAGACGAACCTCATTGTATGTGCGATGAATGAACCGAATGAAAGCTCATCAGATTCTGTGGAGGCGGGCAGGTGGAGATGGAAAGTTGGTGGCAGGCGCTCGTAGAGATAATCAAACGCATGCCAACTGGCTAAACAACTGATTGGCTTGAAAAGCTTAGAAAAAGTTCACAAAAAAGTATAAAAAGAGAAAGAATAGTGAGAGAGAGGATGAGAAATCAAGAGATTCCATACAGAGGATGAGATTCTTCAACAACACCTGATGATTCGTGATGAACAAAAAGTTTTTGGCAAACAATTCCGTTTTACTTACAATATATGAAGAAGAAAATAAAAAACAAATATTATAACTTTACTTTTTGTTTTTTTGTTTTCAGAAATGATACAAGTAATCAGCTGATTCAAATATTCTCAAATTCTCAGAGCTTGAAGGCGGTTAGCCAACAACCATATCTGACCAGCAACGAGCTCGTTCAGTTGCCCGTCATATATAATCCTGATTACAAAGGTATAACTAATGCTCTTCTGTTCCCCCATTAACACATTCACTCTCCAGGACGTAAAAGCCATATCGTAACGGCTGTCGACTCATCTACTCGCAATCTAATCCATTCATGGTTGATCCACGCCAAGTCTCAGCCTCCGAATATCACAAAACGATTTGATGTGAAAATAGATCTCAACGAGAGAAAACTAACTTCTAAGGTAACAGTTTCCATCTTCTAATCTCTCTTATGTTCTTTTTACAGAAATTACCTGTTTACAATCCCTATAGCATTCCCAGAACTTTCAAAGTGTCTACTTCGCGACCTGATTTGACTACTCCTGATAAGGAAATCATTCAGATCCCACCGAACCAATCATATCCTCTTTCTATTCATTTCCACAATATCTTTAATCATCCAGTTGTTCTTGAGGTTTGAAACTTGTTCCTCCTGTCTTCTAATCTTCCTTTCCAGATTCTCATATTCATACAGAACGCTGATACTGGTCAGCAGGAAGAGACGTTCGCTGTCAACGTCAGTTATGACATCTTCTAAGTTGCATTCTCATACTCTCTCTCTTCATCTCTCTCTCTCTCTCTTTCTCTCATTAGAAATACAAAGTTAAGAGGGAAAGTTGGCTGCTGACTGGTTTATTTTGTTGCTGACGACACATGAAAATGACACAAATAGACACACGATCTCGTAATAAATGATTTTTACCATAATAGGTATTCCATGAGATTTAAAATCGTAATATTGCAGATAAGGAAGATAATTAAAGTGTTGATTTGGATAACTTGTTCCGTGGAAGCATAGTTATCAAGGCAGTAGGATGCCTTCTATGGCCGGAGCCATTTACTTCTTGCCATAGGTGCTGGCAGCATGGCCAACGCCACCACTGTAGCCTCCAGTTCCAGCGGAATAACTGGCAGATGGGGCATCAGCTCCAGTAGCGTAGTGAGCTGGGGCAGATGGACGATTACCGGCATTGTATGATGAGTCGGAATCATCCTCCTGTAATCGATACGCGTTCATTAAGAGAAATTGGGACTATGAACTTGCCTTCTTCTTCTCACGGTCTGGGCATGGACAGTATGTAGCATCTTTTCCTGGGTTTCCTTTCATTCCCTCGCCTCCTTCTTCTCCTGGGCGTCCAGAAGCTCCCATGAATCCTGGGGTTCCCTCTGGTCCTTCTGGTCCTTCTTCTCCCTCTGGTCCGTCCTTTCCGGCGTCTCCTTCAGGTCCTTGGGCTCCGATGTCTCCTGGTGGTCCACGTGGTCCCTTTCTTGGGATAGGTTGTTCAACATCTTCTCCCTAAATAATCGAATAAGCAATTGTACAGATCAATGTCGACTTACTCTTTCTCCAGTTGATCCTGGCTTGCCATCTTCTCCTGGAGCACCTGGTGGTCCCATGTCTCCTGGCATTCCTGGGTTTCCGTCGTTTCCAGGTTGACCAGATGGTCCACGAGCTCCACGCATTCCACGCATACCAGGTTTACCCATCTCTCCTGCAGCTCCAGGCTTTCCTGGTGGGCAGGTGACACAACCGTTGAATGGAGCATTAGTGAAATCATCAGCATCCTCTCCATTGTAACTGAAAAACATCAAGTTCAGAAAAAAAGTATGAGATCAGCAACTAACCCGTCAATACCGTCAAGACCTGGGAGTCCGTCTGGTCCTGGAGCTCCTGGAACTCCGGCTGGTCCCGCTGGACAGCCTCCAGTTCCCATTGGGTCGTCGCCTTGTCCGTTTCCGGACTGACAACTGCAAACTGGTCCAGGATTGACACCTTGGGCTTCATAAGCTCCATATTGATCTTTTCCTTGTCTTCTCTGTCTGGTTGAGACAGTAGCAGCACCAAGGCCTAGCATTTGGCTCCATAAATCATCGGTTTGAACCTTAAACAAAAGAGCATCATATTAAAGTTTCAAGATGGGACTAAAACCTTGAATTCTCCCATTTCTTGGTCGAGCTCAGTCCAAATGGTTCGAATGTCTGAGTAGACATTGAAGAGTGCATATAATGAAAGAATTAGTGTAATTGAGGATATGGTCAGGCAACCGACAGTCGCCGACGAAACGCCCATACTGACGAGGACGATGAGTCAAGCTCTACCGTAGGATTCGGGAAAGGATTGGGTCTTTATAAGCTGCATGGGTTGTCCGTTCACGGATGTTGTCAGCTGATGACATCGACCCAATTCTTCAAGATAACTGGTTATCCATTACTGGATCATTAAATTATTTTCGATAAAAATGAGATCATTAATTGTAATCTGTCTATCATAAGTCTCGTATTCGTTCATAACTTCTTTGTCTACGACCAATACGCCTCAGGCTATGGCTAAGTAATCTTACAAGTAGGATAAATCAAGAATTTCTTTTATTCTCAAACATATATTTGATAAAACCATAGATAGGTTACTTCTCTACAATCATTGAATGGAACAAACCTTCAAAGGAAAGCGTTATGAATGAAGACTGCACGGACTCACTTTGGTTTTCAGCTTCGGGTCCATACGGATCTCTTCGCATTTGCATCTCTTATGCTCCTCCTGGTCACAAGTATCGCCATTTTGGGGGTTAATAGCCGGCAACACCTGCAATCTCAACATGTTCACTTCCTTCTGAAAGTTCCTTAAACTTCTTTAATTTTCAATTCTGGTATCATTGAGTTTATCTGATTATTAGCTATCTTCTTGACTTCCTTCAGTTCCTTCGCATTTACTGTCCCACTTTTCGATTTTATCTAAACCATTTGATAAGTATGACAAGTTTCAGTTCGTGAAAACTTCAGGAAGGACACGGCCTACGTTCCCATTGGAATTCTTCTCCTTCACCTCAACGGGTTTATCTTTTATAAGTTTACTTTTCTCCAACACTTTGTATTCATCGAGTGTAGGGCGCGGAGTCTAGAAATTCAAAATTATTTTCTCATTTATTCTTGCCCTTTGAGTCACAACTTCGCTATATTGATCTCCGATATCTGTTTTCTTGTTAACGTCTTGAATATCAACAGAGTTCTGCAGACTGAGGTTGATTTCTTCCTTTTCCTTTTCCTTTTCGGCTGTAACGTTCACAGAAGTTAAGAACAACATGGAGATATCATACCGATCTTGGGAATGCCATTCACATTAGGCTTTATTAGCTTCGATTCGACTTTTGCGGTTTCAGCATACCGCTCCATCTTCGCTAGCTCAACTCTTGTTTTCTCCAATCGTTTCTCAACTGTATTCGATTTCGGATGATTGATTCTGCAAGATAAAGCTTAAGCAAGACGTTCAAAAGGATAACGAACTCTTCAAAAAGACCACAATCGGACGTTTGAGCAATGGTTTGAGCTATTGTCTACAAGTGATATGCATTATGATGATGAAAGATGAAATACACAAAAACAAACATTATTCAATTCAATAGTTGAACTATCAGAGGTTCTTCTAGATATTGATGATCCAACTCTTGATTGATCCATAGATTCTCCTCTATAATATATAAATATGTTTAATAATTCATGATGTTCAAACACGAAACACATACCCCCAGGTAATACTCATTCGACTCATTGCTGAATTCCTATGTGTATCATTATCCAATATATCATTTAACTCATTTTCTTCGTCATCATCATCAATTGGACGTAATGGAGGCACTTTCGTATAACGATATCTGCCGCTTTTGGCAACTATCTCATATGCTTTCATGTCCCCTTTGCCCTTTAATTGTAATAATCATACTTTTCTTGTTATTATAAGTATTTACTTTGACATTGATGAGTCCTCGATGTTTCACCTTGAATTTCGATGGTGACTGCTTCTCAAGACGATCTTTGGTTTTTTGGCCGACTTGTATGGTCATAGGCTTAACAATGGTAATGAAGAACTCTAGTGCCACTCTATTACTTACTGTCTTATTATGGCTTTCCATTCGACTAGCGCAATTGACTGTATCTCCAAACAAGCAGTATCTTGGAGCTCTTAAACCCACGATTCCTCCCACACATGCTCCAGAATAAGCTCCTATCTTCACTTGAACCATCTTCTTACGACGATCACCGAAATAGAATTCTGAGTCGCGGATTCTTGTGATCATATGTATGCAACAATCTGCTACAATTTCGCTGTCGTGATCATTCCTGAATAGAAATTCACTCCAAACAAAGCTATGTAAATGCAAAACGAACGAGTATGGAACTCCTACTGATATCATATAGGATTCTCCGATAGTTTCCACTTTATAAACACCATGAATGTCCACTATTTCATCCAGCAATGAGTATAAGCTAAACATATGGTTAGTATATTCCAATATTCTCTTACCTGTTAAGTAAGTTCACTATTTCAACAGCTGTCAGCTCATGTGATTGGTTGGAGAAGTCGACAATCTGTAAATGAGTTACTCGCAACCGCTCACGTCAAAAGCAGACAGTAGAATGACTCACGGACAGTTCACGTAACGCTTACGTGGCCTCCAGGCTATTCACGTGAAAACCGTGGAAATCACGTAAAAGCAGTGAAGCCGTGGAGAAATAAAACCTGAATACCTTTATGAAAGCGATAGTACAACTTTCGAATGCTTCGCAAGCTTCGGCTTTCCCTGTTTTCAACATAGTGTTAGCAACCTCAATTAACCCCCATTATAAGCCTATTCGTAGAGCCACTACCTCTATTGGCATCATTTGAGCCAGAAGCTGTCTAGCCTTTTTTTTATTCAAAGCGATTTCTCTGGTCATTTCGGTAAGGACCTATAGGTGTGCTGTTAAGCAGGGAATAAGGAAGTCTGAATGTAACCTGACTACGTTGTTTTTCGCTCTGCAACAAGTTTTTCAAATGATCACTCTTTTGGATAGAAGCCATGATAATCTCTCTTAAAATCACTTCTGTGAACATGGGATTGAAAGAAGGATAGAGAGCACCTGTTACAGTCAGCATCACCGTAATCATTGAGATAGATTCCCATCCGGAACATAGCATCTAACCCATCAACACTAGGATTCTAGACTTTAATACGAGTAAGCGAAACGGAAACATACACACAAGTGGCCAGCAGTAGGAATGTTTCACAGCCTTTCAAATATATGATAGGACCTCTCAAGACTACATAGGGTAGATCACCTAAAGCATGAATTGTTTTATATATCTACAGAACTCCTCTGGACCTTCTAGAGCTTCTGAGTTTGGTCGTGTCAGTTCCACAGAATCTTCGACGATTCCATTTATTTTAACTTGGATCTCTTCTTGAGTTCTCTTAACAACCGGGTGCAAGGATTCCAGTTGGAAGTTACAGTTCTCATGAGCCAAACACTGAATATGGGGATTTAAGGATTTTCTATCACGTTGAAGTAACCCCTTCAGCAGTGAACTTGATGCAAGGCTTTTGTAGATCAAAAACATCGACCATGTTCTGCCCGGGTATTTCCGGCATCAGGTTAATTAAGCCATGGCCACACATGATGATCTAAATGAAAACGAGGTAGGAGTGCCCCAACGAATGGTACATACTTCCAATTTCCGGTTGAATGCTATATAGAACGGAAACATTTTGAGAAAAGATACAGTGTCAACAGGTAGATACTCGTTCAAGTTCTTTACCTTCTCTTTCAACCTGAACATGACTGGTTGATACTGGATAGCTTGTGGCTACACTCACCGATTGTCTAAGCGTAATCCACCGTTGTTGAAAAACAGTTGTATGATAACGAAGGAGAACTTCCCTTTCTCCTTCTTCTTCAGAACTTTAACCCCGAGATCTTGTTGATAGAAAATTCTTGCGAGCTCCACTAGTTGTCCAATGACATAAGCTATGTAGCCTTGTCTTCGACTTCTTCAAAATAAGAAGATGAGTTCTGACTTATGAGTACTTCATGTAAACCTGTAGTGTAAAATCAATCCATCTTCTGATTCGGAAGAACAGTAGAATGAGGGTGGACGGATTTTTGGATAACTTAAAGATTCCTGACTTATTCAAGAACGAAATAAGATTCTTCTTCTTCTCTACTCTATCTTATGACTTGTTTACCTGAATCGGAAATATTCATGAATGTTATCTAGCCCTTTAAGGAAATCGGAAAAACGTCTTCCCATCACATGCATTAGATCTCCATACCCATGTTTTATGAGAAATTTCACGAAAAAACGACCTCAAAATGTTAAATATTCCAATTTGTCAAAAGGTGGAAAGTAAACAAGAACCTGCTAAGACTCCAACTTCATCTGGAGACCTTCCAGTTACTTCGCAAGTTGCATTTAGTATGTTGGGTATAATATTCTCCGAGTATTGGTCATGTGTGGAAATGGCTCGCTCAGTCAGATGTGTACGTTGAAGGACCTCAAACAGAAAACAGAATCATAATCTAAAACGAAAAAGTACCTTCTGGAGAACTTCATGACCGAAGTTCTCTTCCACCATGAAACGAATACCTTCTATTAACAGTCCGTACATGGTTTTTTGAATGAGAGAATGTAACAAGACAAGCTATAGTATGTCTGTATCAAGTTGGATTGGTGAGGAGGAGTTGCAAAACGTTATTATTGAGGATGCAACGGAAATGTGCTAATGGCCGTTTCCTTATATCACTTATAATTAGTAAGTGGCTACTAAAACCATCTTCTCTTCATAATAGAATGTTTTCCTCAATTCACATCTGTGTCCTCTCCATTGGGTATAAAAACAAAAAGTTGGGGCCGAGCCGGGGATCGATCCCGGGACCTCTCGCACCCTAAGCGAGAATCATACCACTAGACCACTCGGCCTGGAAAAACTGCAAACCAATTTACCAAATGTAGTGAGATGAACTCTGACCTCCAAACACTGATAATAATATTGAAAATCTTTACTACATCTTACAATTAGAAAAAAAAAATAAACCCAGGTATGGGTCATGGAATGTGAGTCAAACATATATAAGATAACTAGAAGACATGACGGTATTATACAAATACTTTGATGAGAAATGACAAACATGCTTGTCGTAATATGTATGCAAAAGACAAATTATTAGATTATATTCAAAGTTCAGTGGAAGGATATGAAGTCTGAATAGGGTTCTATACATATTGAGATGCGTCAAGACTAGAAAAAGTTTTAAAAAATACTACTTGGTGGAGTATGTTCAGTGTTAGGGAAAGATTAACCGAGAGTATTATGGTTGTTGATTAGAAGCCAGCTGGATATGTAGCTGTTTGACGACGGAAGTCACTGTTTCCATGGATGAAACCTGTAAGGACATAGAGATAAGAACAGTTCTTCCTTAGGGTTGAACATACCGTCTGGTTGAACTTCCAAGGCTTGAACAACAGACTTCTGCTTCACAACAGCGCTCATGTTCTGCTTGAAATCATTGGTGAGAGCGTCGACAATTCTCTGGAAGAAGCCGTTACAGGAAGAGAAGCGATTGCTTGTATACCTTTGGAACAGTATGCTCGAATTGAGTGATAAAAGGCAAATATTGGTTATGGATTCTGGGAGCATCGATGGCTTCTTTGACAGTTTGATTGAAGAGAAGAGATCTGACAACAGCTTGAGCCGTGGCTGAGATGATGAAGGATCCTCCCGAAGCTCCGGCAACCATGGCAACCTTCAAACAACATCTCTCATTAACCCTTAGTGACACTCGCAAAACCTTATTATCGTTCTTGTTATAAATAACCATTGGACTCATACTGCTCATTGGACGTTTGCCTGGGGCAATGAAGTTTGATTCAGATGGAGCGAATCCAAAAGCATTAGATTGACCAGGGGTTGAGAAGTCGTCCATTTCATCATTCCAAATGATTCCTAATTCGGTTGAGACACGCATAGACCCGAATCTTTAAATATGCTATTATTGCTTACGCCATAGAACGAAAATATTCACATCTGGTTGATAGTGGAGGTGGATGAGACAGCATTTCCATTTTCATCGATGATTGAGACATGTGATGTGCCATGGTCAGGTACCTGATAGAGGAAATATTATTTGACGAAGAAGAGATGCACATCCCCCTCCCATCAAAGATATATGTGGGAGGTGTGAAAGAACATAAATCGACTTGTGTCAAACACAAACAGCGTGCGAAATGAAAATTGGATTGCGAAAAGAAAATTCTGTGATTTTGAGAGAAAATGAGATGGCAACTCCTAACACAAATCACAAGTACACTATATCAAACTTACTTTGTCTAGTGAAAGAGAAAGCTTTAAAAGCATGGTATGATAGAGATAAAGATGAGAATGGAATCAACTATACCTGAGTAGTGAGGTCTCCCAAGTAGTATTCGAGTGGTTGGCCAGTTTCCTTGATCATGGACTTGATCCATTTAGCGTAATCATTATTGGTCATATTAGCGACTAAAGTTTTGGCAGATTCAACGAAATCCAAGTCTCCTAATTTGGTTCTCTGGGCATATGCGAACTTCTCAGCTTCGATCAGACGATGATATACTAGAGGATCATTCAGATCAACTGGAGAGCCATCATAGAATTCTTAAATGAAAAGATATCGTATTAATCCATCCTTATCCATCTCACCAGCCATAACGGCAATGATACTCTGTGTGATAGCAAATGAAGATGGAGGTGGAGGTCCACACATCTCTAATCCACCGGGTAATCCTAAAAGTGTTTTGTTAAGCTTGAGATTGAACGAGTCCATATACCAGCAACTAAAGGATTCTCAATAATTCTGGTCTTGTAGTTAGCCAAGTCTTCTTTAGTTAATAAACCGCCAGCATTACTCATCTCTCCGATAATCTGTTGAGCCATTCCTCCGGTGTAGAATAATGCTAATGGATCAGATTCATTGGCCAACATCTTCAAAAGCTTAACTGAGCCCGATAATCGTTTAGAAATGTTACTTGTAAAGTGAACCCGAGAGTTGGTCGTTTTAATATATCACCTTCCTCGTAGACCCTTCCAGTTGCTGAGTCAACGAAAAGATCCCTATAACAACTACATGAAACAAGATCAGAGCTTTTAAGACAACTTCATGGTAGGTTCAGCTTGGATCATAGATTCCTTATCACTCAATACCATAGCCAAGTTTGAAGAAACGGGGAAACCTTCGTTGGCTAGTTTGATGGATGGCTCCAAGAGTCTCGACCAAGAAACTTTTCTGGAACCGAACTTCTCGAAAACGGTCCAATATCCATGTAACTCAGAAGGTGTGGCAATCGACTTATAACCTTTAGAAAGAAAAATAAAAAGAAGCAAACTTGATAGTACCGAAAACGCTAGAATCCTTGGGTAGCTTAAGGAACATGTCCTCTGTAGCAGCAGCGGGAGCGGATTCTCTGGCATCGATAGTTAAGCAACGACCAGTTGTTCTGGAATTGTAGTATGAATGTCGATTAAACGTAGAGAAACACACTCGTTGTATAGAGTCATAAGGAATCCCCCTCCTAATCCACTAGATTGAGGATTAACTACACCGATGCATGTAAGGGTTGCAATCATGGCATCAACGGCGTTTCCACCTTCGATTAACACATCTCTGGAAAAGTATACCGAGTTGAGTGAGAGGTCGTTGGGTGCTATTAACCTTCCGATTTCCGAACATAATCCATGATCAGAAGCGACAGAAGCTTTTCTATAGTGAGCATACAGACTTCCAGATGGCAATGGCCAACTGTCTCCCAGAGATGGACGATCATCACGGAATGGCTGAAGAAAATTCAAGATCATCAAAGTTCAAAAGGAATCCTTTGATAGGGTAAGTCAGTTTGAAGTATTAGAAGCTGATAAGACAGAAAGTTGTTGGGTCGGATTAGGAAAAACTAACATCTAGTGCTCTAGGACAAACAGTTTGTGATTGAACTAAGAAGAAGCTGAGGAAATGAAAGAAACTTCAAAATGCTATACATTATTCTCATTTGGATTGTAGATCAGACTGGGTCCAGAACTCCGATTCTCTTGCAAGGTAGATGGTGCCGCTGTGCTGGAAACCTGCTCAAAAGAATTATTTGACAAACACGGACAACATCGACCATATTTTGAGTTAAACTGTCTCTTCGTTGAGAAGCACATGAAGCAACAAGTTCACAAAGACATAACATGAGTGATACAATCGAGATGAGTTTTCAGAATAGAAAAGAGATGACACTCACTTCAGATGTATTTTTGTCCTCATTGTACTTGATTCCTACCACAATGGCCAGAGCTATTGTTGACAGAAGAAAGACTGTTGCCAGAATGGCACACAGAATTGCAATCGTTCGGGTACATCTGTAAAAGGAAGTAAACAGTACATGTAAATGAGGTTTAGGCTAATTATTTTTGACCAAAATAAAAAAACCTGTTTGACATCTGTGTTGGAGGAGGAAGAGAGAGAGAGAGGAATGAAAGTAGAAATGGAAGAAATAGTTTTGAAGAGTTTTAATGAAATCTCAAAAGCTCAGTCTAATCTGTGTGTTATCAGCTTATTTTAGCATAAATTTTATATTTGGTTGGTGAAATGAAAAAAAAGAAGATTAAAGGATTTTCTTAATCATCATGCAATCCGTTGGATACGGGGAAAAAGCAATTGGTGTTCGCATACATCAGAGCATACTACATCAACAAGAACGACTGTGCAGCAAAGGGCAAAAATACAGAAAACTAAGCTGCAGCTGAACTTGTTTATCGCATCCTACACACAACTCAACATCCAAAGATTAAACTACCTTTGTTTAACTGTAGATCATCTTTTAAACAAACACATACACATCGAATGGCATGCCGATGTTTCTTCGAAAGTTCAAAACGAAACTTCTCAATGTCATTCTCATGTCTCTTAGTGACTTTCAAAGAAAGAAGGGAAAACAAACTTTCGGTTACGCCAAATAGCAACATAGTAACGACGATAGATTCGGAGTTTTTGAGAAAGTGATAGATTCTCAGGAGAATCTTCAGATAAATCACTCAAATCAATGCGCATTGAGAATGGACAAGAGAAGGTGAACTTCTCATTAGGGGACTTAGCTAGTCTGTTTGAATTCTTAATGACAGCTTCTCCCATTTTCGACAGCTATCAATGCTTTAAAAAAGAACAAACAAAGCATCTTTAGAATGTTCAGTAAAGATGAGAGAATATGATTTTGTTGTTGAAAGAACTCACCCTTCGTTCCGATCAGAACGCCTCTTATGGATATCATTGATATCTTGTGAGAAGACATCGCTTGGCGATCCTCTTCTAGGCGGACTTGACGAATCTCTGACACCGACCATCTGAAAAATGAAATTTCGCTTGTGGTATCGAGAACACGCCTAGGTCAAAGGAAAATAAGTTTAAAGATGGAAGGTGGCACAGCTTGTAGCGAAGAATCTTTGTTGTCGATTAGAGAGGAAACATCTGAGAGACATGAGTGAAACAACAAATGAACACAACTGCTTAAGCTGTACAAGTAGCTGACTATGGTTGGCAGAAATGGGAAAGAGAGTGGAAAGTACAGACAGCGAAGAGATAGGAGAGAGACTACGAGATAACAAAACAAGTAAACATAAACTAAGTAAATACGATAACAAAAAACTATTCCGACTAATATTTTTTCTTAGACAGTTCCAACGTTTCACCGGAAGAATGGGTTCTTTAATATTTACATTTTGATTGAGCAAAATTACAGGAAGAAAATAACTCACTAAAATAAGAACGATATGATGTATTGGAGAATGTGAGAGTAGAAGGATCAACAACCGCTCGCTGTGTCTGTTTTTCGCCAAAATGAACATTTTTTCGTTTCCGGTTAAATTTACGTGAACTGGCCACGTGCTCAGCTCATTAGCATATAGAACTGTTGATACCATAGGGAAGTTTAACAAGTTCTCTATCATTATAAAAATGGAATAATTCAACTTTTAAACGTTCAAAAGTCTGCTAGTTGGGAAGAAAACCAATTATTGAATAATGTAACATCGGTTTGTACGAAGTTTTCCATTCAGTTTTTCTCGCATGCAGCCATTGAAGACAGTGGATTTTGAAAGAAAAGTTGAAAACTCATGACTAGAACGAAACAGTGGAGAAGCAAAACATATTAAACATTTCCTTTTTCATGACCTCCACAAGTAGAAATTGAACAAACTGTGACGAGAATAAGGAGATGACTAATCACAAGCATTTTGTTGAAATTCCAATGATCATGCTGATATTATTTTACAAAAAAAGAAAAACTGATTTTTCAATTCATGCGCCAGCTTTTATATCTGGAGGACACGAGTTTCTTAGAAATCGGAATAGTATTGAAGTTTGTGAGGGGAGGCAAGAACCAATGAGGAACCAAACTAAGGTAGCACAAAGACCAAGAGAGTTAGGAAAGTAAGCTAGGTGACGACTTCTATAGTGGTATATGTTTGAATAGTTTTTGTAACGAAATATATATGAAATGGCAGGAAATTTTGTCAAAATGTTTATGAATAGGTTTCTTTGGCATCTCAGGAATTGCAGAAGGTTAACTAGGAGAAAACTAGAACCAGCTTGCATAATCCTCAAAAATTGCGCAAATGACACTTTTGATATTCAATCGAAGGGTTTATATAGATTATGGGATGGCCGACGTTTACGTGAGCGATAGGGTCACGTAATTCCGGAATTCAGGGTCAGGCAAATATAAAACCAGAAATTTAATCAACAATTTTGTTAAAATATTTGCTAATTGTTTAAAACACGCAGCTTGCAAACGTTTACTCAAGTCAAAGGCGTTGTGATAATACTTCATCTTGAGGTGAAGCTTTAACGCATATGAACAAGGTTCACAGTTTAAAAATCTTCTTGAGAACAATCATTATAGAAAAAGTGAACTGTTAGCTTAGTCAAATAACCTCCGTACTACCAGAGATCTCTTTTGCCATTCTGCCGTCTACTCTCGTTCTTGCCCACACCCTGTTTGACATCCGGTCTATGTCATAAAGAGTAGGCGGAAAGTTCAATGCTTATTGTTTCCGTTTGAAACTTCTCTTTACGATTTTCAACGATAACTTCCGATGGAAACAGAGCAAGTAAGTATTGAAACGAATGTTTTCAGGATCATTCGTTTGCAGACAATTTCAAAGACCTCCAGTTTTTCCTAGTTTCTAAGCGATATCGAACACAATTTCGCCGAATTCAGGTCTTTATTTCAGTTGATGAATGGAAACGATTGCAAAATAGATAATAAGTAAGAATTTCCAGGAATCAGAAAAAAAACGGGGAGAAACATTCGAATGATATTCAAACAACTGATTAATAACAATCGGATGCACTATTGTTTCAACCGTTTCCAGTCCATTTTCTCCAAATAAAAAAAAGATAAGACCTCTTTGCTTAACCAAAATTCCTTTTATTACGTGAAAATACTATGCATTTCGTTTTGGGGGAGAGAACGAGACAGAAAGAGACAGTGGCAGTGCGATTACAATTGAGTAACAGTCCGGAAATACTTCAATAACTTCTGCCAATTATCAAATCAATCGGCGAAAAAAATTGAATTCTGACTTTGATCAAACAGGTACTGATGACTTCACTGTTTTTTGTAGGAAACATTGCGAATAAACAATGACGATAAACAACAACGACGCAATTTGTTTTAAAAAAGCAAACAAACTCAAAAAAAAAGTTGCGATGATGCGTTCATTATGGGTTACCTCGTAGTTTGATTTGAATAAGTTGGGTGAAAGATGATAGAAATGATGATTCGAATGCAACCGTTCTGAACGAATTGACTCCGGAATTACAACAAAAAAACGGAGAAAGTTAGCTTTTGCCTCAGCTGTACTTAAATTCTTTTTGATCTGTTTGCTTAATAGTCTAAAATAACTGCAGAAAGTAGAAACAGCTAACAGACAAATGAGAAAGTTACAGTTGGTTCGACTAACACAGACTACTGTGGCTAGAACAAGAGTAAAGAGTTTGATTACGCTGAGTAATGAGAACAACGTCTTTTAAATGAAAATTAACCTGACAATGAATGGTAATTGCGAGACTGTTCAGCCACTAAATAGATGATCATTTATAGCAACTGATGATACTTCAGTCATACAAATGTTCGTTCAAAACAAGAGAGACAACTGATGTGGCAGTAGTTGTTACGCCCAAGGCATCTGAATATGAAGCTAGCAAGGTAACACACTGATAGCCACCTTACATCTCGATTGGGCGGTACAACCACTATCGAGCTTCTTTTTATTCGAGACAAAAAGATGAAATTGAGAGAAGGACATGAAAGAGAGAAACATAATAAAAGACTACAAGCATGTTGATTCCAAAAAAGGAAGAGAAGAAAGAAATCATAATAAGAAGAAATATGGATAGTACACAATTGCATCCATACAGTTATAGCAATCGCTCCCCTACGCCACTCCTACCTAACAGAGTACATGAGAGTCATGGCGTATTAAATGTAGAATTGGTAAATTTGATAATAGACAGAACGTAAAATGAGAGACTAACCTCCAATCCAGTTTTATACTCGCATAGGCCATGCTTTTAATTTCAGTGTCTTTCCGCTATTATCTTAACATAATTGTTGAAAAAAAATTAAGCCGATGGATCAACGCACTACAACTTCCATATTCTGTCATTTGGTTCCAATGATCCTTGGGCTAGTGTGAAAAGGATCACAGGGATTGATCATATTCATGAATTCATTTGTAACTTGTTCGTTCTTTGAGACGAAGAGGCTTTCTCCTGTTCTTTGAAAACTTCTATTTCTTATTCTAAAAAAGGAAAGAACATTGCATAACCAAATAATAAAGATATATCGAACAACAACAATACAACAAAGAAAACAGTAAACAGGCGAGAAGTTGTAAACATGACTTTATTGCTTACTTTCTCGAAATAGTTCATTCTTTAAACATTCTAAATCCGTATCGGTTACAGTCTGCCTCTGATGGAGGAGCTGGTGCCAGACTCATCAAGTCTTTACCTTCCTTTGTTTTGGGGAAAGCTATCACCTGCAAACGAATTTATTACCAGTCTACCTATATTGCTGTCTACCTCTCTAACAGGTACAGTCGGATCACCCTCACCAACAAGGAATGCAACATAACGGTCTAGTCCCAGAGCGAATCCTCCATGTGGGGGTGCGCCATATGATAGAGCTTTCAATAAATGAGCCTACAAGTTTTTGATACAAGTTTGTATTCTCCTATTGGCAGTACCATTTCAGAACTCTTTTCACCCAGAATATCGAGAACTAGCTCTTGTTGCTTAGGATCATGAATTCGTATCGAACCACCACCCATCTCTACACCATTTATTACGAGATCATAATGCTGCCCTGAAGACAATTGCATACCAATGTTAGCTCAACCGATTCCAACCTTTAATTGAATTTCTATTTTCTGACTCATTTAACATCAGTTCATGTTCGGGAATTGGTGCCGTAAATGGATGATGTGTACTGACTAGTTTTTCATTTTCAACCGTAAACAAAGGAAAGTCCACTATCCAATGGAAAGTTATCTGTTTGAGAGATTGAAATTTAAAACTAAAAACTGCTATTACCTTCCGCGCTTTTCGAAGACCTGATTTCTCGGCTACGTAGTTGCGAAGTTGACCTAAGGTCCATCCTACATTTTCTTCTTCTCCCCATCTATAGAGATATATTTGTATGAAAAATCAGATGCGAAAACTATTACGCGAAAATGACTAGATCATCGGTTCCTATATCGAAGTCCTCCATTATGTTCTCGTTATTGATTTGCTTGAACCACTGTTTTTTATCTGTCGAATACATATCGAAGGCCTTGAAGATATTAACAACATGATTGAAAAAGTCAGACACAATACCGAACACTTGTCATTGACTTCTAGAAGTCGTTTAGCTTCCTTGCGGAATGATCCAGACAGAACTTTCTTGTGATCTTTGCAAACAATCAATTTTGCTCTCCAGTTCAAGCCACCCTTCTCCCCCTTGAGAAAGCCTGAAGACACAGCTTATTCTAATAGCTTGTTCTTCGCTAACCTAGTTGTGAAGTAGCATCTTGTATCTTCCAAGGTATTCTCATATCTGGTTTATCACTTCCATACAGTTTCATAGCGTCTTCATATGACAAATGTGGGAAAGGCCCTGTTGGCTGTAAGTCTTTCTGAAACCTAATGAAGTTATGATCTATGACAGTCTGTTATTCCTGCCAAATGTTCCGGCCAAGAACTACAGATGAGATCTTCAACTAGACGCATAACTTCTTCCTGATTTGTAAAAGATAACTCCAAGTCAACCTTAAATAAATAAAAATATGATCAATTATCTTTCTGAAAACCTGTGTAAATTCAGGTTGTCTGTCTCCTTTGGAGCCTTCGTCACGATAACATCGTGCAATCTACAACAGCAAAGGTTTATTTGCCAAAATAGCAGTAACAACCTGAAAATATCTGTCGATTCCTCCCACCATTAAAAGTTGTTTGAATTGTTGAGGACTTTGAGGTAATGAATAGCAAAGACCCTAAAAATTGTAAAATTTTGGTTCAAATGTTGAAATTGATATACCAGGTTGGGGGCTGAGGAAGGGACCAAAAACTCTGCAGCTCCGCCGGGAGTTCGTCTGAACAGGGTTGGTGTTTCAACCTGCAACATGCAAGCTCAATACATATTACATATGAAACTCATACATCTACAAAATGTCTTTGCTCAATTAAGAATCTACGCATCTCATGGACTAGTGTAGATCGAACTCTCAACGACTTCTGCATCTTGTCTCCTCGAATGTCTAAGTATCGGTACCGTAGTCTAGTCTTCTCGTTGACATCCTCATTTGGCAGCAGTGGGAGGTTTGATTCACTTCTATTCAAAACTTCCATGTTCAGTGCATCGACCTGAACGAAGGATGAGTAACTCAAAACTATTGAAAAAAACCTCAATTTCCCCAGTTTTCATGTTTGGATTTGCATGGTCACCTCTACTCCTAACTATGCCCTCTACTTGTACTACAGATTCGTAAGGGAGATCTTCATACTGGTTGGCAGGAACTGTGACCTGTAGAAAATAACCAAAAGCAACAGAACACCCTGTACCTGAACCATGCCATAAGAATCCCGTAAAACAAGAAACTTGTTCATACGCTTATAGGCCAGCCAGCCCATAAGCTTCACCTTTTCTCCTTAACAAGCAAACTTAACAGGATAGAACTCTGGTAAAGATACCTTCATTCTTTAATGATAGTTCCCCACAAGTGTGAGTGCGTAGGGCATAAGAGTTAACTGATGAGAATCTTCTAATCCAAATGAGGTTTCTAAGATTTAACATGAACTGAAGTTAATAATAGAATTTGAATTAACAAGCGTCACTATTATATGCTAACGAAGAGAACTTCTTCATATTTAACCGAATTTCAAACTTCGTGGCGGGACCCCAGATAGTCCGCCCTATAATATTAGAGGCGGAAGAGGGTCAAAACTCAAATCTGCATAGTAAGATACATGGAAGTTGTGAATGGATAGAAATATATTTTATTTTTTCGTTGATTTTTCTATTTTCTTCCGGTAATGAACTTCTGTTAAAGGTTAGTTGAATCGTACAACGTTTCTCCTCCTCTAACAGCTACTACCTCACAAATCTAAGGTTATTAAGTCTTTTATTAGGAATGCTATTGAGTGACTTTTCTTTTTGGTAGCGTTTTACTGATGACATGTCGACCACCAGTAAAAAATGATATGAATTCGGGATGTGGGGAACGTAATTTCTCGAAGCTGTCTTCGAAATCATCAAATTCCGGTAAATCGAACGGTAGTGCCCGGATACCGAAAATAGTTGTTTCTTCTTCATCTTCGCTGTCCGACTCGTCATGAGTTACTGAAATTTGACTATAAAACGTGTTCGACATATGTATCTAACTGGGTGGAATGTTCATGTAGTTATCCTCGATACGAGGTGCGTCGTTAAATTTACAGATTGGACTTAGTAAGTAGTATATCTATAACAAATCCAATCACCGATTACTCATAAAAAACTATTTTCACCTTGTTGTTAGGATAAATGTAATTCTTGTAAATATGACTCATCATAATCCGGAAGTTCACACTCTCACCCACATAATCCAACGGAGAACAGTTATCCTAAAAAAACAAAGTTAAGAAAATCATTGTCGTTTTTCAAATACTTCTGATAACGTTTGAGGAATTAGAACTTGTTCGGCGTTATGTCGTTTGAGTAACCTACTCCTAATTTCGTTGTCTGATAAAGTTGTAAACTCGTTAAGTTTGTCATCAATATCCTAGATTTCAATAGAACATAATGAAGTATGTTAACCAGTGTCAAACCTCATACTCCTCGTACATTTTCAATAACCAGTGAGAAAGAACCCGAGATAGAGAAGACTTCTCCCCCTTCTGCTGTTTTTGTTCATCCAACAGTCTTGCTGCTTTCACTAGATCTCGAATCTAAACGAAGTTGCAATGAACGCGAACAGTTAAATTCCAACTTTTCGAAGCATAGCATTCCTACTTCCTCTCTTCTTCTTAGCCTGTCTTTTGAACTTCTTCTTCAACTGTTTCTTGGTTGGCTTATTGTATCTGAGTTTATTTTCGAGTGGAACGTGTCGAACATTCAAACTCTGAAAAGGAATCACTCAATAATGTGATCTGGCTGAGGAAGCTTCACCTCATCAATCAAATCATCTATGTCAACTGCTGTACCATCAAAATTTCGAGCCCATTCACTTAAGAAGCTTTGTATGATGAAAACCCGATGACTCAGCTTACTCGAAAGTTTTCCTATCTTGAACACTTTTTTTGTAACAACATTCCAACATAGCAGGATCAACAGGATGTGCTTCAGTATTGTAAACGTATCCACCAGCGGCAATCGCACACTCTCCGTTTGTAGTATTAATTAAGGAGGCATGAGATCCATCATTATGTAGAAAGTTGTTCGTATCAAAAAGCAGATACAAGTACTTCGTTGTTTCCGCCAGAAAGAAAGATTCCATTCTATAATGAACACATTAGATCTAATCGCTTACAACTCTGTACCTGTCCTCTACATCATGCACGCGAACGTCATGAACTGTGCCATAGCCACACTTCGTTTTGGCACTATGTTCGATAGCCTGAAGTTCTTAATATGAGTATTCTCATTTGTATATTATCCACAAACGTCGACAAGTTGAGCTCCTATTTCTAAGAAAATAGGATCTTTAGTTGCCTGGTAGAGATACATCAGACTTTCTGCCATCTCAGGACGTAACGGGTATGCTGCTCGTTTTTCAGTCTAGTGTCTTGATGATATTATTCTGCTGTGAAGACTAGCATACCGGCTCGCCTTCAGGAATATTATAGAACTCAGGAGGAAATCCATATTGCTCAATGGTTTGCGCATATTGAAGCATTATCCTACGGGCATTGTCAACATCTCCAGTCATAACCTAAACAGTTATGAATATGAAGTATAGAAGGTGCAGAACTTACTAATAAGCCCGGCCAGAAAGCCTCAAGAGATTGGAATATTGGAAAGGTGACACCCCCTTTAAACATGCTAACCCACATGAACCAATCTTCTTTTCTTATATACTTTTCTACTGCAGCTTTGTAATCTGCAGACAAAATCATTTATTTATATTTATTATCTTATTATACTAACCATTGAAATGCGTCATCAACTTAGGTCGTCCGAAAAGAGCAGCACCCTTGACTAGATACTCGAAGTAAGAGTCGACTCCTGCACCAATACCAGAATCTGTAGCCGTCCATTGTCCTGGAATCCGTTGAATTAGATAGTTGAAATTGAGAAGCAACCGTCTTTGATTAAAACGTGAGCATAAGTGAGGCATTTCTGATTTGAACGTAAGTTAGAGTGCGCGCGCACACGTGGTATGCTAATTAGCATACCCGAGTAGTCGCTTATGCTAATGTATCTTCCGCATATCCCCTTTTTATTCACCTGTCAGAACATTTATATGATTTCCAACTAAACCAATTTTCGATTTGTGTTTCTCCAACGATTCAAGGGCTCGCATTGCAACTTGTTCGTAAATGGGCTTATTCAGAAGACGGGAAAGGGTTCCGAACTCTTAATTGACCTTATGTTTTCAATGAATACTGAATATGAACTGACCAACAAGAAATGTTCCGATGGAAGCGGTACATGTAATGGGAGTTTCCTCCTTGTGTACACCATATTTCAAATTAACAGTGCCATAAGGCATACCGGTATCTTAGACGGGAACGTAATGGGATTGTAATAAGATAGAACCTGTGTTGAAAGCAGGTAATAAACGAGAGGCCATCCTCTCTGCTAACCGTAACAGCGGACCATCACATGGCCACCCTTCCTCTAACTCCATACCTGAAGGCTCTATTAACAAGATATTCAGAAGCTAAGAAACCTTCGGCAAATCCACTAAACATATGAGCTGATAACAATCCCCCTACTACCCGAATATTCGTTTCGAAAACAGAAACATTTACATTTACATCTGTTTTGACCTTAAAGAACAAATGGGTAAGAAATGAAGTGATGACGAACCGATTTTAAAACTAATTCTACTGCTCTAATAAACTCTGTGTGATTACCCATAACTAATAATGTATCCAGAGCGTCCACCAGTGATAAGGAGAAAGATCCCCATGTATCAACTCCTGATTCAAATGATTCGCTAGATTGAAAGAGATCAGGTACCTTCGCAAGAAAGAGGTTTCAGCTCATCTAATGGAAATGCATAATTGAGATAGCCGTCGTAGGCATGATAAAACATAGATCGAACTTTCTCACGATAACTAAATCATAAAGTTTCCTCCCCCCGGAGTTGGAAAGCAACCTTAAAATGACATCTTCGGTGAATTGCATCTCACTCATGCCGGACACGAATAATATGCAGAATGTCGCCCATGGTAATTTCATGAATTTGTTTCCTGAAAATTAAGTCAGAAGAGTGGAGGATGAAGAAAGTGTAGTTTGATGTACCGAGCAAACTACGACCAACTAGTATACAATATCAAAAATTAGAGATTGGTGATACTCACTGACATGCAAAAAATCTAATTAGAACTGTTTTTCTGTTTTGGTTCATTCAAATTCCATTATGTTTGACCTCCGTGGCGGGGCCCGAAATAGACAGACCTTTAATTTGAGAGGTGCAGAGGACTGTGGAAAATTGTCCTGATGGAATGGATGATATGGTTTTTTGAAATGTAAACATAGATACTTTTATTGCATTTTATATCCGATTTTCATTGAACTGCCTTCTCCATAATTCCTGTCAAAGTACTTTTGAGTCTCTCAAAAAGCCTGCTCTGCCTATTTGCCATTGTAATCTGGGACCCCTGATCTCATGTTGATAAGGCCATATGAAGATATCCCTTTTCCCGTTGATTGAAACTCATATGAAGTGAGAAATCGATTGATACGACAATACAAGGATTTCTATTCATTGATCTGAAAGCTCATCGTCATCTCACGTTCTCAGAATCTAGCTAGCAGACACCATTAAAACGGAGAGATCATTTATTCTTAAAAACAGGCAAGTGATTATCATTGAGTACCGGTGATTAACAAGTGAAACGTGAGATTAACCAGTAAAACGGGATGAAAAAATAAAAAAACAATCGGGGGTAAAATGAGCATTTACAGCAAAGAAGCTAGCTGATTACCAGGATGGTTCTCCAAAACGTTGGAGAACTTCGTAGCTTTCCTTCAAATCGTTTCTGACCTTCTCTCTCATGTAGTAGATAGGACAGTCTCGAGATGAGCAGTTGACTTTCTCGTGCAGAGACTTGGCACAGTTCTGGCACTCAGTCCACAAGCGTGCGAACTGATTCTCAAAAGCATTCATCGCGAATACTCTGAAGAAGTATGATCAAAATGAAAGGCTTCGAAGCTCTACCTGTTGGCATAGATTTCTCCTACTTTAGGCTTACAGTGATCACAAACAGCAGCCTTCTGATCCTTGAGCACACTTTTGCATCTGGAAACGAATTACTAGGAATCACATAAGTATCCTTTACCCTAAACATGTTGAAGCTTTCTTGGTGAAGGCGGCTAAACCTCCAACTTTACTTTGAACAACGGTTCTGACACGAGTATGTTCTCCTTCAGTCAAGATCTAGAGGAATAAAAAAAAGAATGACTTAAACGGCAATAAAAATACCTTCTCTGCTCTGTCTCCTAGGATTGGATCGAAGATACGAGCAAGAGGTTTAGCGAGTTGATTAGTTAGATAATGTTTGGTGTCAATTGGGATATTGTTTTGGAGAACGAAAGTAGGGTCTTCGGCTTTCTCATAAGCTGGTACGTTCTTAGCAGCAGCAACTGAATGCGAAATGCGATATAAAAAAAACGGATTGAGACTCACTAATTACATAAGGTACACGATCACCAAGACGTGGAGCAGAGCCAGGATCTCTCTTATGCATACGAGCAGCTAATTCCACATGAGCTTGCTTTGCTTGATATTTCTAAAACGATGTGAGTATGCTCATGTCTGCAGGCTGGATCACTCACATCTCCTGACTTGGTAAGTTCTTTACTAATAATCAATAGGGAAATATCGATTTTGTTACAAAGAAGGTCGGCGATAGTCCTGAAATAGTACTTATCATTACGAAATAAGATGATGTTATACTTCTTTGCAAAGTCGAGAGCTGCTTCGGAATCTCTGTTGATCAAGAGCATTTCCAAACAAGTACCCAGAACCTTGGCTACTAAGGGACAGTTATCTCTTCGAACTGTCTCTAATCCCTACAATTTATATTTTTGTCGTCTTTGTTTGTTAACTGTCGTTTACATACCTTACAATCCATTTTATCATGTTTATCTGGCTTTGTGAAGTATAATCCAGCATATCGTTTCTTATTGATTAGCAGATATGGGAAATAAACCTACACGAACTGTCAGAAGATAACACATGGAAAGGAAACCTTTTCGAACTCCAACTTGATGGGGGCCACAAAACATTTGGAAATTTCTGTGGCAGCATGTAAACCAATCTCCATAGCTTCCTTCACAGTCTTCACTCCAAACTTCACCATGACAGAATCAGTATCTCCATACACAACCTAAAACCTTGTTCACGATAATCCTGTGCTGGGAGCATACCTGTGCATTGACTGGACATTTACCGTCTAGAGCTCCTTGCGTATATCTTTTTTCAACTTCGTTCTTAGTGAGGTCGATCATTTCTCTACCGAAAGCAGTGACAGATTGAGAAATCTCTAAGCAGGGTAGCTTTCCGACAGTAGCTCCTGTGAATCCGTATACAGAGTTAGCAGAAATCTGGAAGCATTAACGACTACTTTAAGCTCTTTTTAACTGATACCTTCAGAGCGAGCTGTCTACCGTTCAAAACCATTTTCTTGAACTCATCTTTCTCATGTTTCATGTCAGTCTTGGCTTTCTTTCTGAAACCTTTCCCTCGTAATTATCGTGACAGCTCTATCATCAAACCTTGCTGCCAATAGATCTTGAAGAATTCTGGGTAGCAATCCCTCTCTTTTCTCTTTGGTTGCGAAGAAGTTTCCGGCTGGTGTTTTGATGTAATCCTAGTATGAACAGTTCACCTCACCTAACAGGTCAGTTCAAGCTTACTTTTCCTTGTTCTCCCTCAGGCTTACTAATGAGGGTAGTATAACACAAGTTATGAGCGATCATGATGGATGGATACAGAGATGCAAAATCCAAAGTGGCGATTGGTTCATTATAAAAGCCTCTAATAGGCTCAATAACTGTTGCACCCTCATATCTGAAAACAATTTAATTGACGCCGAAATTAGCATAATTTTTCAGTGCGCTTGAGTCACGTTATAACCCGCCACGTCATTTTCACGTCGTTTTCATTTTAAATTGAGTGAGAGTGGCATGCGGTCGATAATTCATCAAAATTTTCAGGCTTAACAGCCTTGTTTTAACTTTAAAACGTAAGCTAACTATAAGAAAACTAACCCTTCTCCATCATTTCCTACAGATTCGATAACAGGTAAGAAGAAGTTCAAGGATTTACATTGTCGCAACATCATGGAGAGAATCTACACGGATACGTTTCTTCTTAACGTTCTGAGGTATTACCTTGATTTGCTGTCCTCTTGTTAATAAATAATTCAGAGGAACTCCAGTTACTCTTGCCATCTCCATATAGTTAATTATAGACATCAACTTATCCAAAAGACGAAGAGGTAAGGCAGCATCTTTCATACAGTAAATGGCCAATCTGAATTCCTCATATCTTTCAGAAAACTGTCACTGATATACCGTCTCCTAGTTTGGTCATCTCCTTTCTGCAAATCTGGGATAACACTATGCTCTACATCTTCTTTCTGCTCAGCCAAGAAGTGATAAGAAACACTGTTTAAGGTATAACTACGCAACTTATAATCTCTAAGAACAACCTGAAATTCAGAACATTAGACAAGCCAATATCCGAAAACTACAGTACTTGTAAAACATCAAAGATAACTCTGCCATGGATATCAATACTCTTGTTTACACGGCTTCCCATCTGCTTAGATGACAACGCAGCATCCCTAACACTGGATGGTTTATCCTTCAATCTACCAAGCAAAGCAACATTCGGCAATTTCAAAGCCTAAATCAACGCAATTAGCAGGTATGATACTTTTAATTACCTTTGCGCGATCTAAAATGTAAGGGAGATCGAAGTTGAGAATGTTATATCCAGTTAGAATATCCGGATCAGTTTCGCGAACGAACTCAGCCCATCTAATTTCAATTTATTTTGAACACTTATTGCTACATACTTCTCGAGCAAATCTCTCTCTGTTGCACATTGGATTATGTTTGAACCGATAACTGGGGCACATGTTCCGAGAACGAAGCAGTTTCTGATGAATGGCTCAGTTTGTCCTTCAATCTGGAACTCAAGATAGAACTAAGATTTCTGGATATTCTATACCTTGACCATGTTCGCGATTTGAATGACAGGATCTTCACTCGCTTCAGGAAAGACTCCTCTGCGACCCATGCACTCAATATCGAAAGATAGTGTTCTAAACTTTCCATTGAATTGTATGTTATATCAACTGAGTACCGGATAGGAGCAACATTCGACCATACCCCTTCGGGCTCATGTACTATGATGTCATCTACAGAAACTTCTACTTCCATTTGGCATCTAGATATATGCTCTTTGTTGGACAGTATTTTCCCTTTCCCAGCAGGAATTTCAACCCATCCACATCCTACAATTCCCGTTTTAGCCATAAATTTGACTTCAGCGTCAATGTTTGCTTCGTACAATGTATCAATCTGAAGAAATCCTACTTCATGGTTGTACAGTTTCACCAAACCTTGACTGCTTTGCTTCCCGACAAGTTAGGCATAGTATTGCGCAGTTCAGCCTTCAGTTTACTAAGGGCATTAGTAGTTCCAGAAACTTTGACAAAGGGATATTTTTTTTCCGAGCCTAGAGTTTATGCTTCACAAATCTCCTGAATTGATGAAAACAACCTCGATAATAATAGACGCTCTCTCCCTGAACCATTTTCAAATGAACTAAGTTTTCGGCCACCTTAACCGTTTCTTAGCTTCCCATTTACCATAACTGCTTTGAATACCTCATTCGTCATTTTAGCATTAGTATTTCCTCGGCGAATTGAGTTAGCAACAAGCGCATTTAAAACCCTTTGAGCATTATCAAGATGCTCAACAGAGAAACCTTCTGGGGCCTATAACAGTGCGTTATTGTCTTCTCACAACACTAGACTATTACTTGGAAGTAAAAGTGAGGGAAGTAGTCAGTGATGATAGCACAAACTGAATTACCCTCGCTTGTGATTCCATAAAGCCTGACATTTGTTTTGTCAACTGTTGTTGTTCCCGGCTCATAATAGGTTTCCAAATCGAACACCTAATAAAAAGCTCTTATGACGTTAGTACAACCATTCTCACCTGCAGAGAGATCGGTTGTTTTGTTCCTAAGCCTTGAACTAATGGAGCTCTTGCCCATTTGGTTTTATCTGCCCCTGCTGTTCCTAATTTCTCAAGCTCGATCTCAAATGTCGAGCGAGTCTATATTACATTAATTAGTAACATAGCTTTGTATCTATGTTGAAACCTTATTGATATCATCATCTTCTTTTCTTCGCTTAGCTGCCGTGTTAGTGGGGCCTGCAGTTCGTTTAGTGGGCTGAGACATGAGCTAAACGATATGGTGATTTTGGGTTTTACCGTAACGGCAAGATAATGGAGACAGCTACTCGAGCATGATATGCGAAGATGTGGGTGTGTAACCATTCATTTGTATGTGTAACAACTAATATTAAAAGAACGAAATGAAGCTCATACAGTTTCAAAAACTATGTCACAGGCACATTCAACTTCTATAGACGGCAACAGAACATAATTATTAACCAGAAAAATAGTGATAGGAATGAGCTAATTTGAGATCACCCATTAAAAGAATATGGACAAGTTTTCATAATGTCACTAAATTAATACCCATATGTGTAGAAAATCATTGTCAAAATAGAATATCAGGCTAGTGGCTTAGCACGGTTTATGCCAATTGGTAACGGCGGAGGCGGCATCAACTCTCGATCTTTATCCTCCTATGATCAATGGCATAATCAAAGAAATTAACATCGTCACATACCTGTTCGATGCAATGTGTAGCTTCTGCACATAAGGCTTCATCTATACATTTATCATCTTTCTTCTTTTTCGGTCTACCGCGCTTAGGTTTATCACTATCAGGAGCATCAACACTCTTTCGAGCGGTTGCTTTCTTTGCTATTGTTTCTACAGCTTCGCTCTATGAATATAATAATGTAGACTAAGCTGTAGAATTTGAGGCTTTACCTGGAGAATAGGGGCTGCTTCATAAGCCGGAACACCCGTAGTTCCACTGAAAGCGAATGGCATATGCGGTACGAAATTTCCTAAGCAATAATTTATTGAAATTCATAATGGATCAATTAGGAAACCTTGTGTTGGTACAGGTGACAGGACCTGTTCGATATGCGGATACTGTTCTTGATTATTGGTGGGGGAGTACTAAATCATTTGACTAGAGAGATTTAATAAGAAAGTCACCTACCATTGCCTGTGAAGATAGCTTAAAAGCCTCTGTTTCCATTGCCCTGCCAGGTATTCCTATTTCTTTCATTGTGTTTTCTAAGAATCGGAAACAAGGTGTGTTTAACATTGCCATCTTCCTGAAAGAACAGGAAGCTTAAAAGAATTTGAATGAAATAGGTACATGTGTACGGGAGTGAGTGTGCGGGAATTAAATGTCTGTGTCACTTGAGCAGATGCCTAAAATTGATCATTCATGCTTTCCATGTTTCAAAATACAAACCAATAAAAATTTTTCAGCAAAATGCTCCATGGCTTTGCCAATAGCAACAGGAACTGACGCTACCATTCTGCCGATCTCCTCATCTGCTTGCATTACTTTTTTGATTCGAGTCTGAAGGTGTCTCACTCCATCACCATAATATTTATTTGTACTTACAGGTTGAATTCTAGCGGCGCTAAAGCGTCGTCTTCGCAATGGACCAGGTCCACCCGACGAAGGGCCTGAGGTAGTAGGAGATTGAGACGGTATGTTCGGAGGTAGTAGAGTAGATTGAGGAGGTAGAGACCAATCCGTTGGGGTAACCGGTGGAGTACAAGTGTTTAGTCCATTTGAAGGCCCTGGAAAAGTATTTCGAAAATTTGAATATTTATTTTTTGTCCTGCCTGCTGTAGGATAAATTTGCGTATTGTATTGGGGTGTGAGATCGTTCATTCTTCTTCTCCTTAAGAGGAAAGCAACTGTTTACCGAGAAAGTGACAAAATATAAAGTTGGTGTTGAAAAAGTCCGATTTTTTTCCTTAAGCGGTTTATCTGTGCCCGAAAGAACTACTGGTTCAGCATCTAAATAATATGAAATTGCTTCTCCCGCACAAAGCAAAGATTCAGAAAGAGTGTGTATGGGGGTGATATTTCATTGAGCTGAGAGAGAGAAAACGGCCGTCCAGGCGAGGGAACAACAGGATGTTGAGAGACCAGGACAAAAAAAGAGAAAAAAAGAAAAAAGTTAAAGGAAAAGAAGAAACGAGGCTGCATCCCTCGTCCGTCCTGCCGTTCTTATATATACTTGCAAAATTGCTGATGTGCAGGTTGTGTCAGGTACGGTAGCTCTCAAACAGACTGGCTATATAAAACGCGATTGATTCGTTTGACTGCTTGTGTACGAAAGTGTGTGTGTCTATCTCTTCGCTGGCCTGTCTTTTCTCTTTTTTTCCAGATTAGACAGAATTTTTATGTATGTATATGAGTTTAAAGTTGAAAAACCTCTGATCTACAACGTGTTCGTTGAACACTTTGTGCCTGTGGCTGTTTTGAGGAAAATCCGTGTACTTCGGATAAACATAACATATTTATTAAATCTTAGGGAGCGAACGTGGAAAAAATGACTCGTTATAATTGTAGAGATCAACATAAGATGACGAGATGATGATGTTGGAGGTGATTAGGCAACTGAGTATCGATTTCCACTGGATCCTTTTAAAGTAATCGCGGTGTGAGTGTGCGAAGCGTGTTCTACTTCGTCGCCATCAAGGTGCGGGTTTATATTTTTTGTAACACAAATATTGCAAAGTTTGATAGCTGTGAAAATACCGACGAAGACAGCAATACTAATAACGGCAAAAGCAACACCATCTCTGAAATTATAGGTATCAACTGTGTCTCTCCAAGGCTGAATGAAGATGTAAGTTAGCGAATTGGAAACGTGGGCATGGGCCTGAACCTGTTTCATACCTAATGGTCTATTAAAGAGATAAAAGACAATTGTTTGATAACAAATCTCAAAAATAGACAGTTGCTACTGTGTGGAAAATGGACCAAGAACTCACTTTTCAATCAATGAGAGATGTATAAGTGTAATACTAATGAATGTCAAGAGAGTCTACGGATGTTCAGAAATATTTAAAAAATTATCACAAAAATCTCTCGGATAATTGTGTTCATGTCCGGTTTTCACGATCACGATGCATCGCGATTGAACGAGAGACATTATCCACAAATACTATAATGAGCTGAGGCACGAAAATAAGGAGAGAATTGTAATCCGGGAAAAATAGCTTCAATATGCATATAGTCATTTTGTCAGAGAATATATGCTATGATCTTGTCGTCGCACAATATTATTGTCTTTTATGGAATGATTACAACTTTCCAGTTGTTTTGTTCTATTCTATAAGCTTCATGCACACAGAAAAGCCGAAAATATCACGAACATAGACGTTTCTACCCGAAGACAATGATTACAAGAAACAACAAAACAATTTTCCAATTTCAGATATCTCGAATTTCTCCGTGGGATCGCAAAGTTTGGGAAGGGAAGGAGAAATTTTTAAAGGACGCTTCCACTATTAGATCATTCCAACTAGTATTTTCTGTTTCTCATGACAATCATTTGTCATCTATTTGGAGAAGAAGTTTTTGATTCTTGATAAGTTTCTAATCGTATTTTGAAAACTTGCATTTTGGCAGATGGCTCCTTTCCACCAGCTATAAACTCTTTCAGATCCATTTGAATGCTTTCAGCCTGAGGAACGAGTAGTTTTCTAATTATCTTGAAGGAAGATTAGATATTGATTTGAAGAGCTTCCAAATAAGACACATAAACGAACAATGTGAAAAATAGTACAAAAATAATATATGCCGTTCTTAGAATTCGAGTACTGAGTTGGATGAGGGTTGTCTGTTTCAATCCATAATAGGAAGTAGGGCAGAAATTTAACCTAACAATTGAAGTACTAAAAGCAGGATGGCCGTTTAACAACTGAAATTGAAGTCAGAGAAACAAATCAGGGATATCTAATTGGGTTAGGCGTGATGCGATCCAGACCCGGAGCCGCGTTATTTAATTGGCTTCGTCTATCCCCAGATTTAAGAGTGAGATACATAAAAAAACCTGCATAAAACTTATCTAGAAGAAGCTGCTAAGAATTGGAGCTGATTAATTGTTTATTCAGTAGGCCAAGAACATGACAGTGGATTAAAGGAAATGAAAAGAAGAATAAAGTTTCTGGCACACACACACACATACATACACACACACACACCATACAATGTATGAAACAAAGGCTCTTTTTTGAGAAATTCGCATTCAGAACTCATGAGTACTCTCGAGAAAGCTTTCCATAGACAAAAAATCGAGCATCAAAGTATCTGGCGGGTCGTGAGATAATTCCAATTAAATGAAATTTGCCAACATTCAAACTCATGGAGGGTTTTATATAAGACACACGTTATAAATATAAAGTTTTCTGATAGTGAATGTTATTGGCTGGAACTTAGGGACATACATAGAGATGAGGCAGGAAAACTCTTCGATCTATAATTAGAAATAGCACCCATGCACATCTATTCCTCATTTAGATGATACTACATGTCACATGTTCCAACACGCCATTTCTATTCTATCGCGTTCTTAACAGTTTAAATTTTTTATGCGCGTCACTCATTAGCATAATTGAATTGCGTCACTGTCTCTTACTTCCTGCCAGGTTGATGCGCAGAGCGGTTGCATTTCAAAGTTCATAGAGTATAAGCAATCAAAGACGGGTTTTTGGAGTGAAAATACATTTTTTCACAAAATGAACACGAAAAGTTCCAAATAAGGTGAGAAGGTAGAAGTCTTATTCCTCTCTAATAGAAATTGGGTGTGAAAAGTGCTGACAAATACGTGATTATGACTATTGATTGCTTTCTAATAACAAGCTATAGACTACGAATCGTCAACTTAAAAATAAAATTTCGTAATTGTCACCAGTAACTGCGGAACGTAAAAAACATTTGAAGATGTATTGTTTATAGATATATATGGTAATTTTGTTATTTTCGCCATTTCACAGTACTTTTCAAGTCGAAAGACCAAATCCCCGTTGTATTCCAAGCTTGCTTCAGCAATACAATGCTCAATCACTTGCATATTTCATTGCTGAATGCAATTAATGAAGTTGTTTGAATTCAAAACTTAATTGAGTTATTTCAAAAATGAAATTTACGTGAAAAACGTGGAAAAACAACATTTCCAATTCTGTTTTTTTTAGCTCGCAGATGTTTAAATGAGCTTTGCCCAAAAACACTTCCCCTGTCACGTTGTTTACTGGATGAGTTCCAGGTGTGTTGATGCTTGTACCGTAGTTTCAGATTGTATTCAGCAGAATGTGTATGAACCCGCTATTCAATTAAATGCATTAAACTTTGAATCATCAAGGAAGACTACTTAGAATATTTATTTTTATATATTTTATTTACAGTCTATTTTTGCAAGGATGGGGCGAATCCCATTCTCTTGTTTCCAATATCGTAGATGTTACAGTATTGACGGATGAATGGATCTCCAAGAATCCAGCCAGGTCCGAAACCTCCACTGTTGAAGGGGAAGAGAGCGAGGATGCAGTGGTTTCCATCCTGTAAGCTTATTTTAGAACTTTCAACTAAACAAATCTTACAGCGAGAATCATGTTGATGGGGTCGAGTCCATAAGTAATTCCTCCGATAACAATGTTGAATTTGCCGGGGTTGGCTTTGCAGTCAATGGTGTAAACTTCTTCTCTGGCATTCCACTAAAGGAAATCGTTGCATACAAGATTAGGTAGCTTGCTACTCACCTTGGCTCCAACAGCTTGAGCGAGTCCGTCAACAATAGCCTTGGTTCCTCCGATGAGGGAAGTACCAGTGTCAGAGATAACGCTAGCGGTCTTAGCGCTGTTGTAGCTTCCATAGCTGAATCCATCAACCTATGATGAAAACATCATGCTCCATTGTAATTTTTCTTTTCTTACCTTGAATTCGAAGTAAGTAGCAGAAGAAAGTGGTTGATATGCGACGATAGGGCCACAGTTGGTAGTGTCGATATCTCCATAGGTGAAGACTCCACCTCCGACTGCGTTCAAGCTACCTCTGTGCTCGAGCCAAACGGTGAAGACTGGCTTGTTCAAAAGGTCTGGAAGACTGAGGTCAAAAGATAGTTTTCAAAATAAAGCATACTTTGGTTGATAGCATTGACAAGTGGTGGGGTAACGTCGTCAACAGCTAAAGATTGGAAGGCAAGTCCAAGGATACCATCAGCGGGGTCAGAGTAGAAGTCAGAAGAGATGTGGCTGGCAACTCCGAAGACGGTGGTTGGGACAGCAAGTTGTTTTGTGTTGGAAGCTCCGAACTACAAACAGTACGATTGAACTTGGAACTACACATGTGATAAATAGACTCACTCTAACGGTATCTTGTTCCAAAACTCCCTTAGCGTTTCCGGATCCGTATCTGATGCTCCAGGCTCTTCCGTTGCTCTTGAAGGTGGAAGACTTGGTGGTATCGAACTTACTCTTTCCTTTGCATGAGGTACTGAAAAGTATTACAGATATAGGTGTGTTTCTATGAGGTCTCTTACTCGCAGTTAGTGGCTGGAACCCAGAGATTGGCTGATCCAGTGTCGAGAACTACGACGAAGTTTTGTGGTGGGGTACCGATGGTAATGTTTCCTACGTACTCGTAATCTCCATAGTCGAGAACCTGTGATGAAGAAATGAAATTTCAGGCTGATCACAACAATCTCACAGTCTCAGATGTACTGTCCAAGTTGCTAACACGGAGCATCTGTTGGTGCTCAATGTAGGCTTCGAGTTCTCCGGCAGCCTTCAGACGCATGCGTCTGGATGGATGCCATGTGAGTGACTGTTGGTGAACACCGGCCGCTGCGAGGCCCACTAAAGCCAAGAGGATAGCGTACTTCATCCTATAAAAAGCGAATTTGAATACGGAAACTGAAAGTTAGTTGGTGGAGAAGTTTAGAGAGATTGAATGGTACTCATAGTGATTCTTATCTCATTGCTTATATACTCACAGAAGCTTGATATGACAGTTGATAAGAGATATCGCCTGAACTATGAGATTCAACGTAAGCACACGTAACGTACCTCCGTGTTGATTGGTCTGTGCTCTCTGACAGATACGGTTCAATGAAGTTTATCGAGAACAGTGACCTGATCCTAACAAGTACTCGTTTCCCATATCAAACTTTCAGGTCTTTCAAATCATCTTCGACTCTTATTCTCATATCTTGCATCAGCATTCAGAATCTCTTGCATGTAATATAGTCTGGACATAGGTTTTACGATGCCAGAGTTCTTATCTTATAGAATGATAGTGGAAATGGGTAGCATCCACACCCTTTGCCATATCCGGTAGCGAAATTTGAGACACAGAGTTGGAAATAGAGGTATCAAACTAAACTTATTTCCCAATTTCAGAAAGAGTACAACTGGTGGTGTCGTTTATGCTTTGAATTCTATTATATCCGTTTTATTTTAATTGTTCACATATTTCACAACAAAAGCTGACGTTGGCAATTGCTCAGTCTTCATGCAAGAAGAAAAAAGCTGAACAGAAAAAGAAATGAACACCAGACACATCGGTGCCCGTTTCCTCCAATTTGAGCGAATTATGATCAACGGTGTTTTTATGAGGAAAGGTGAAAGAGATCTTGTTTTTTTTTGTTCAATTGTATTGTAGTTAATGGATTGTGTCTGCGCTCTCAACGGGCCAAGTCCTCGGCACTGTGGAAGATACTGCGTTTGGAGGAAGTTGTACTTTGATACGATCTATCGCACTTCATCAGCGAATAGTTATCTGAAAGCAACTTTTGAATCATCTCTCGATAAGTTCGAGATCTTTTGAAACTAACTCATTGCGGCTAGGTCGATCATAGGTACAGGTAAAAAGGAATTTACAGAGGAGGTCGTTGGGTGTTTGACATCTCTATAAATATAATCGTAAGTGCACATTCCGGATGCTCGAGATGAAAACAATCAGTGAACTTTGGTATCCCATACAAGGCTTCTCGTGAAAGATAGAAAGACATAGAGAAGGTCAAATTCACTTCTCGGTTCATCAGGTAATGATACTTCGTCTGAACGATCAGTACTTACACAGTGAAGGTAGTTGGAACATAGCATGGGTGTTGCAGAGGTACTAGTCTCATAGAATCTGAACAAAAGCTATTTATTTGTTTTTTTCTATTTTGTTTAAAGTTGAAAACATCCAAGTGGGAGGTCTGGTTTATCAAACGGAGACAACCTTAGACAAGACAGTTGTGAAATTAATGGGTTTGTTACTATGCAAAAGAACAGCCGACGAAGGTAGGAATGAAAAATGGGTTCCAATTATCTAGATAATCTCGATAAGTCCCTTTTCATGTTCTCCAGTCGTTTTTCACTCATTGTTGAAATACTTTCTCAACTTTCATTTTTTTAACTTCAAAGAGGAGCGAGGTTGACTCAGTTGATCTTACAAGTTGTTTGACAATGGTAATGAACTTTGTTGTCTACGGACTCGGTTGTCTCGACAAACCTGACGAGTTTATTTGTGGTTTTTCTTCCTCGTGATCAAGTGATGGTTCTTTATCATTCGAATTATTGTTCTTGAGATGACGCTCGATTTGATCGAGGGCTCTGCGCTTCGTGTTTAACGCACACAAGCCACACCTGGAAAGAAGGTGGGAATTATCTTTCATGGAAAACTAACGAGCAGCTCTTATGAGGACATTTCTGTTTGTGACCTTTTTTGGGTTGATTGAAGATTCCATGATTCGCGCAAAGCTGACACATGTACTGTTCTTTTGGCATATTCGGTCAGCGGTTATCTGAAAGAAGATTGTTCAGAAACGAAAAGGAAAAGCATGTACTATACACTGAATTTTTTAGAAGATTAAAAGGTCAAATGGGGGCGTGGCTTGGATGTGTTGGTTCGAAAGCTGCCGTGATTCACATCTTGTCTGAAAGGACGATCATTTTTTTTCTCCAATATTTCAAGTCATAAGCGAACAACGACATGAGGACAATGAGTATATCAGATCGTGAAGTAACAACTGAATGGCATTCTCATCATCACGATTCTTAGTTCGATTGCGCGAAGCTCTAAACTCGAGTGCCATTGAAGGTGAGAGGAATCCTAAAAAAACAGTTTTTTCAGTGAAATCTGTCTAATCATTTTGCAGCAATTAATTATATTGTCGAGAAAAAAAAGTACTTGAACAACGCCTCGTTACCAACAGATTGACAGCATGGTCATCTCCACTAGCTGTTTAGATCCTCGCTAACTAATTAATGGCTGTTCAGTGGCTCGTTTCAAAAATTATTGCCAGTTCTTGACAGTTGGAATGGAAATTTCCGACAGAAAAAATGGTTTTCCGTGCTATTCATAAATGATGTCCAAGCTGTAGAAGAGAGAGGATATGACATACGATCAAAGCGAAGTTTGGAAATTTACCAAATAAAGCCAACAAAAAGTAAGGCTATTGGATCTTGGGAGAAGAACTAGAATGAGTATGACGATCGCTCAGATCATTTTCACATAGCAGAAAAAAAGAAATGGCTTGGATTTTTGAAAAGGGAGGGATCGTTGGTTTTGCTAACAATAAGCATTAATGATATCAGCTTCTAACCTTATAGGTTTTTACTGACCTTGGCGAACCATCGGCAATTGTGTGTTTCTAGTAAGTGGAAGTCCAATCTGAAACAAACATCATTGCGAAACATGATTTAGGTGATAATTAGTAATTACAGACGTTCGGGAACAGTCAAAATCTGTTTTTCCTAGATTGATTTTTATTGTTACTTATCACAAACAGAATAATGGATTTCCTACAGAGGCTGTCCTTGTTTCTCTCTTCATTCTCTTCTCTCGCTATACCTGACCTCTTTTTATCGACCACAATCTTCGTCCATTCTAGAACCATTACCGCTACTCATTCAGTATGTTTTAAGAAGCTGCTGTATATTCTTCCAGAGCTTGACCACAAAGAACATGCCAATGATTTGATCCAGTTCTGGTCTTTATTATCTGGAAGCTTTCCAAGTTTCTTATTTATTTGCTTGCATCACTGACCATTCATCTCTTCCTGTGTTGTTCTATCAAATAGTCTTATGGTTTTCCATTTATCTGCTTTAGGAATCGTCATCAACTTAAAACCTTCTATGCAATCGTGGGCCCACGATTTCCTCGCCTTCTTCTTGCTCATTACTCAGTTTGAAATCTCATTCCAGCAATTGACACCTAACACTTTCTTGTATGGGGTTCCTCAAAAGCTTCCAAGTCTCAATAATCCTTATGAAACTTTCCTCACCCCACCTACGTTCCCTCCTGTAGAACCGATTCATTTCAATGACTTGAACTCCTTCAATAAGACCATCAAACCCATCAGCTTAGATATCGAGGCTTTGATGAATGTCGTAAGTTTGTCACATACCAGACACTCATCACAAATGTTACAGCCAGAAATTGTGAATCATTGGGGATATCCAGTTGAAATCCATGACGTTGTTACAGAAGATGGATATATCCTTCAACTTCATAGAATTCCATACGGGAAAAGTAAGCACTATTGTTTTCAATGATTAAAGGTTCAAATAGATGACACTAACCAAACATCAAACAACCGGCCAGTGGTTTTTCTACAACATGGGCTTCTTTGCACTAGTTCGATATGGTTATTGAATCTCCCCCACCAGTCAGCAGGTATCTTGAAATGAATTCTTGAATGACCGTTTGATTTGAAGGATTTGTTTTTGCTGATTCTGGGTTCGATGTTTGGTTGGGTAATATGCGTGGTAACATCTATTCGAAAGAGCATACAAATTATAGCTCCAGTGAATCAAGGTTCTGGAGATTCAGGTAAGAACAAGAAGATACACATTACCTAATATGATACATTTAGTTGGGAAGAAATGGCAAAGTATGATTTGCCCGCGATGATTGATTATGTCCTAAAGAAGACAGATAAACCTTTTCTGTATTATGTTGGTCATAGTCAAGGAACGCTGACAATGTTCGCTCAATTGAGTCGTCAACCAGAATTCAAATCTAAAGTAAATTCATTCATTAGGCAATCCTTCACCTAATAGTTCTACATAGATCAGAAAGATGTTTGCTCTTGCACCTGTTGCTCGCATGTCTAACGTACATGGTCTCTTTCATTATCTTGGAAAAATATATGAGCAGTTCAATGTAAGTTGTGGGCCAATCAAGTTCTTTAAAAAAAAATTTGAAATGGGAACATACGAACTCAACCGATATTGGCGGTTTATTATTGCGAAATGATTTGACTGATGTTTACGTAAACCCGCGCCACGTGTAACGTGGATGTTTCTGCAAGATTGTTTTTTCCGTGTTGATCACAGGAATTGGGCTATGCACTTTCCACGTAAATCACGGCAAACGTCATCCGCGTTGGTTTATTTGCGTTCTCATTATCATAAAGGGAAACAGATGAGAAATCTACGAATAGGAAATGTCATGCCTATGAGATGTTTATGTTTCAGCTAGTTTATGCTTTATTTGGCGACAATGAATTCATGTCTAATAACATTTTCACACGAATGTTAACTGATATCATATGCGACGTATCGGTGAACAATCCCATCTGTGAAAATTTCATTTTTTCCGTTAGTGGTCCTAATAGTAATCAGTTGAATTCGGTATGTTCGCATTGATCCTTCTAGAGTACAGCTCCATTAAGACCCGGATAGGTATATTCCTTGCGCATAATCCAGCTGGAACCTCCGTTCGTAACATGCTCCACTTCGCACAAATGGTTCGGCGTAGGAGTATGAGTGCTTTCGATTTGGGATTGGCCGGTAACCTCAAAACGTATGGGAAGGTTCGAGAATAACAAGATTGTTATTTCAAAAGTCATTTGTCACAGGCGGAACCACCTGAATACAAACTGGACAATGTAGAAGCCTCCATGTATCTGTTTTACTCTGATTACGACTGGCTCGCCAATTCAGTTGATGTTGAAGGACATCTGATGAAGTCTTTACCGAAAACAACAGTAAAGCTCGCTAAGTTTGACTGTGTCTCTCAGTTGAACTGCTCACACTGATTCAGGAAACTCTACAAGTTCAATCACAATGACTTTCTGTGGGGTTTGCGTGCCAGAAAAGAAATTTATGATCCCATTGTTAATATTATCAAACTGGACGACAGACGCCTTAAGATTCAGCGGAACTTAAGTTCTTTCCTTGACCGTAAAGGTATCTATATGACTGGTTTGTAGTTTCAACTCTTTTCTTGTAGGCCAATCTTTACGAAAAAACGATTCCACGAAATCCAGTAACTCAACGTCAGAGTAAGTCCCTGTTTAAATGATCTCATTGTTTGAATAATCTTCTCGAACTTTCCATCATTTCGAAATATCATAATAAAAGTATCAATAGCTATTTACATCATATGACTGTGACATTTATATCATTTATTTATTTGAAGCAGATAAGTAGGGAATCTTACATCCAATCTGGCAAACGAACTACCCGACGACTAATAGCGAAATAACAAGTACGGATTTTCACATAGAAGTCTTCAGTGTTCGTATCATACAACTTGAAAAGTGTATAAGGCTCACGTTTCAACACTTCGCCTTTCCACTGCTCCGTCAGAATCATATCACCAATTGCATGTTCAATGAAACTGAAGTTCTTTTTCGTGTCTACGGAGAACTTCGCGAAGGTCTTCCGGCCGGATAAGCGTTCCTGTACAACAGTTTGACTTTGAGTGAGATGGCCTAAGACTTACTTTCAGCAATCTTAGGAGGGTTGTCTGTTCTATTTCAATCTGGTAGGGGATGTGGAGAATCTTCCAAGATCCTTCGAAAATGTATTCCTCGAAAGGGATTGACAGAGCATGGCGAAGCGTATACTTCAAATCGGTTATATCTACTTCCTTACATCTTCTGAACTAAATCGCTCTGATGAGATAAGGTATAAAGAGAGCTTCACCGCATGTCTGTTAAAGAAAGCTCTACTGAACAATTCGTTGAGACGCGAAGGTTCGTAGATTTTTGGATTTTGGAAGAAGAACGATATCGGTGAAAAGCATTCAACAAGACGAGAAACCGATTCCTAGGAAGAGATGGGTATAATTTCAAAATAAAAGGTCTCCCACCGAATAGCCGCTCAAATCTAAATCACGCAATTTCATCATATCCACACTAACACGGCTCTTTAAGTGCCATTGTTCAAAAACAGCTACTAGTTCTTGAGTTAGTTTAATCTAAAAGATCTGAATAACATTGTTCACGTGTATCTCATATGCTAATTTTGTTCGTTCACGTTTTGCGTACATACAGAAAGTGGCGTTCATTTTTGAGACGGATAGGGGACAGAGCGGTTGATTACGAAAATGTAGAGACACTTACATTTCGTAATAAGAAAGAAGATAATCTTCTTTGATCTATCAGAACAGTCAGAACGTGTAACAGTGTTTTATGAATGTCTGAACAGTATATAGATGTCCTGGATGCCGTGCAGGAATATAAGGGACAATAATAAGCCTTCAAAGAAAGAATGTTGAACAGAGAAAGCTGGAATTATGAGCTGTCACCTTGTCTCCAGGTAAGCCGAATCGCACAGGTGAACCCAGATCAAATATGAACTGCGATTTAGGAAATAAACATACTTCATGTATTCGCATTGACTTGTTTAGATACAGAACGTAATCAGGCTTCAGCTGAATCATGTGAGCATAAATTAGTACACGATATAGTCAACTTACAAATGGAGCAACAGTTGCCTGCTCCGTTATTTCCAGGGAATTAACTTCTTCCGGGAGGTTTGAAAACATATATTCAAAGATCAATTTGCTCATTCTGGGATTTCCGTTGTAGGCTCGAGATAACTGCTCAAGGCTGTCCCTTCGTTTCGAGCAATTAGTAACTTTATAACAACTAGTCAAACCTGTTCAGGTGACGCAGAATTTTATATAGCATCTCTACCGGCAGACGATCCAGGCTAGTGATCGGGCTTTGGGAGGTATCGCTGATACGAGCATTATCTGAGTTAGTTCTTTCTGCAGCATACTCTTGCCAGTTCTTTGATATCAAAGTGGCATGGGAAAATTTGGAAGCTAACGCATTTTCTTTCCTAACATGCGATGAGGAACTCAAAAATTGACTAGTTGAGTCGGTACTCCCACTGGAAGCGACTACACAGCATTTGGATAAACTTTCACACAGATCATTTCCCAGGTCACTCTCACAGTCACTTGATATTCCCGAAATAAAATCATAAAGTACGTCCTGCACAGTTCTGGGATGATAATTTGGTCCGAAATAGACAAATGTCCCATCACTTATATATCGGGGTAGGGGAAATGAGTTCTTGGTTTCCATAGCTGCAGCATTGTTATCCGAATTGAATGCCATCCCTATGAAACATTGATTCATCATCTGTATTCAAGCTAGACAAGTCGAGAGGAGAAAAGTGAAGATGAAGGCAAGTTTATTATACAATATAGTGACCATGCGTTAACAGTATAATCTTATGAGCAGAGAAAACCAATATATATCTTTGTAAATCAAGATTTCGTGAGCATGCGGGCGGTACAAATGTGACTAATAATCTCCTTCTAGAGAAATTCTTATGTTTTGTTGAGGTCTGAGAGGCTTTCTGGAAAAACGGAACATATTTTTGGAAAATGAAAGGCGAAACTAAAACCTCACAAACGTCGATTTGGGCGTGGATTCGTTGATTGGCTGGGTGCTGGGAGGCCTGAGTAAGGTGGGAGTCAATATCTTTGTGCTGTGATAATATCATAAATGGCAATGAGCGGAATCCAATCAATACCTGCATTGAGACTCGCATTCCTCGTCTTTCCTACGACGTCGAGGAGTGGACACCGGAGAAACTACTAAGGGAACTCTTCTTTTCATATCTTTCTCCAGGACTTCTGAAATGAGTAATGTCGATATGTACAAGATATTGAAGGCTTACTCAATGACGATTGTCCTAGACGTAAAGCGGTGGCTAATATATCTGCAGCTTCATCCTTCGGCTTCAGTAGTACTTCTGGAGTTTCCTCTTCCACAGGTTCGCATTTTCTCAACTTCCAACGACCGAGAACCTTCACTGACTTTCCAGGAGTGATAGGTTCCTGAAGCTATAGATAGTCTCGATGAAAGTGTTATTTAAACGTACTTGGTCGTAGGGTGTTGATAATCTTGAAAAGTCATTATTTAAAAAAGAACTATGTTCTAATGAGAAATCGGGATAGAAGGACGAATCAGACCCTGAGTCTGATCTTCCTGCTGCAAAATTCAAACGAGTTAGGCATAAGAGATGCCGAAAACATACTGGGTGAGGATAAGACTTCTGCGCTCTTGGTTTTTGTGGATAACTTCATAACTTTGCTACGACAATCATTGACTTGGAATGTTTGGTATGGTGACACATACCAGTCTATCAAAACTAGAAAGAGCTATATGAATTGAAAATACTAAATGTTGATATTACCTTTTGTGCGTTCAAAACGAGGTGACACGTTAGACGAGGGAGAACCGGCAACAGGCAAGTTCTCCATTTTATATGAATAAAAAAAACTAGAAAAAACTAAAAAGCAATTACAATCTATGAATTAATAAATTCTCCTGCAAGCTTAAGCCAGGTATGTAAATGTTCTGAACGCTGCTTACAAGACGCGCTCCAAGGCTACGGGTCAGACCTTTAATGACCTAGCATGAAATACAGTTATCAAAGCTGAATCATCCGAACATCATTTTCCCCAGAGCTTAAAGTTTGATTTTTATATTCTCTCATATGATAGTATGACACATTTCACTCGCTTTGATATAAAGTCTTAAAAATCCTTCTTTTCTCCTTTTTTCGATCTTTCATTTTGTCATTCTTTCATGTTTCTTTCTTGTAAACGTCATTAAAGAGCTTATAAAAAAGTTTCAGAACATGTCTATTCAGTGGGGAGCTCAATACCCCAAGCTAAAAACAAATCTCCGGCTTGCCGTAAACAGATTGAAGATGATGGGCAAGAAAAAGACAGAAATGGCCATGAAGGCACGAACTGAAATCGCAGATTTCATTTCAAGTAAGACTTGATTCGTCATACACTCTCTTCATAACAGTTCTTCAGTTCATAAAGAGGACAGAGCTCGTATAAGGGTAGAGCATATTATTCGTGAAGATTTTCTGGTTGAGGCTTATGAGATTCTTGAAATGTTCTGTGACCTTCTCTTGGGAAGATTTGGTTTGATCGAACAGATGAAGTTCGCAGCAATTCCTTTATGCTTTTAAACTTCTTTTGCTCATCAGAGTGCTCGATGATGGAATAGCTGAAGCGGTCATTAGTATCCTTTGGGCTGCTCCCCGAGTCGCTTGTGATATCCCAGAGTTCAAGGTTCGAGCCTAATGACGTTACTTGTCATAAGATCATACAGATAATTAGCGATCAATTGACCACGAAGTATGGAAAACCTTTCGCTGAAGCAGCCCGTGGTAACCAACTCGATTATCCAGCTAAAGTACGTTATACTTGCTCTGTTATCTTGTTATCGCCCGCTTTGTTTAGGTGAACCCTAAGTTGATTCAAAAGCTGAGTGTTTCAGCTCCTCCAAAGCTCTTAGTTGAAAGGTAATCATGGATATCAAACATCCACGTAACACTTTATTCAGATATTTGATTTTGATCTCCGACGCCGCCGGTATTCCATTCACTCCTGATCCAGATGTCATGCGTGAAGATGAAATTGCTCAAGCTGAGAAGTTGTTAATAGATTTCAAGAATGCGGGTGAATTGACTAATCCAACTCCAAACGTGGTATACTCTTCCTGTTTGGCTTCCCGAATTTGTTTGTGTTTCAGCCCCCTTATGGATGGAGTAATGTAATGCAACCAGGACCTCCTCCCAATGTTGGGCTTCCCATGCCCCCTAATTCAAATGATTTCTTTGGGCAGGACCCAAATGATAAGAAGGGAGGAAACAACGGAGGAAGCGGTAACGGTGGTGGTAATGTTTTGTTATCTTCTGTCAAAACTAATGTTTACATATTAGGTAACATCTACGAGGTTCCACGGGATCGCTCCAATAGAAATCACGAGTATGCTGAACCTCCCGGCGAGTATCCTACACAGCCTCAAACTTTCAAGTGAGTTTGAAACTAGGAAAGAGTTTCGGAAGTTTCATTTTTCAGCGACATTCCTCCTGTAGGCCAGTTTCAACTGCCGAAAATTGGGCCTAACGGGGTTCCTGTTTATCCGAACGATGCCTCCTATCCACCACTAAGTCAAAGAGTATGTCGTAGTTCGTTGTATTTAGCAGGCTGTGCTCATGACCCTGCAAATATTTTGTAATTTCTTTAAAAGAATCCTCGTGCTTCTTAACATCATAAACGAAGTAACGATGAAGCGAGAAACGTCTGTGTCTCCAATAATCGTCTGAAATCCGATTTCGCATGCAGTCGTTTGTGTGTATGTCAGTTGAAAATGTCTCCTCCCCTTATCCAGTTCGAGTTTTGCTCAGGACATCATTTAATGTTTTCAACATCTAATGTATCCCTCGCAATCTTTTTTTTATTTGCTTTTCTGTTTTTCGAAATTTATTCATCTTCCTATTTCCCTCGATTAACTTTCAGTCATGCTTTTGATGAGTAGAAGTAAGACCTTGTCTTGCGCTGATTCTAAGCGAAGAGTAAGAAAGTGCAACTCTTGCAAGCGAAGCAACAGCGCTAAAAACCATCCGAAGGTTTTCAATTTTTAGAAAAATTTAAAACACATCTCTATGGTAGCATCATCATTCAACTCTATTCTTACAGAACTCCGTCGTCATGCCCCATGACAAGAGTGGTGGCGCAAGCGCTCCTCAGCCTTCTTCCAAGAACTCTTTGGAGTCGGGTCAGTATTTGAGGAAGTCCTTTGATTGAACTTTAACGCTTTTAGAATTTACACTTCCTGATCCTCCAACTGACTTCAATCATACCAACAATGGTGGAGGTAATGGCGGAATCGGAGGAAGTTTGAATCTCGATTTCGACGAGTTGGCCAAGAGGTTTGATCAACTTAAAGGAAAACCATGAAAAATAACAGACAGCTTGTTTATTGTAAATATTTGCATGTATTTTTATACTGTGTAAAATATAATTTATGTATTTTGGAACATAAATATGGAAATGTTGCTTAAAGCTTGACTTGACTTGACTCTGGTTGACCCAAATTTATTTAAAAACAACATATTGCCATGTTCAAATCAACTTAGGCATGGCGGAAAAAAATACGAATCCCCATTGGGCCAAAGATACTGAGGAAGAAGATAGAGTTGAATCTTTAATTAGGTTTGATTTCGCGTCTCATATTCATACGAGGATATTACTCTGATGTTCCTTAGACGGTCCGGATGCTGGGATAATCATATGGGTGTGGTGGAGTGCATGAGTGAGAAGGGAGATTGGCGACAATGTCAAACTCAAGTTTGAACTTCCTTTTTTCACCTTCAAAGAGTTCTCTGCTTCAGCTGACATCGTTCAAGGAGTGTATGATGAAGGCCCAACCACAACAATACGACAAATCGAAGAAATAGAGAAATTTTTGTTTTCGCAAGTTGTTAGTCTGTTAAAGCATTAGGTCCGTTTAGTAAAAATTTGTTTTTGTTGGAAAATGTGTTGAACATGTGATTACGAACATTATCTTGCAACTTCAGTTGTTTCCTTTTTATTGTCAGGAAAGCTTTTTTACAGGATATGCTTGAAGAAGCATTTGGCGATTTCGTCATCGACGACGATGATGTTGAAGAGAAAGAGAGAGAACAGCTGAAATTTATAAAAGCAGATGAGTATAAGGCCTTCATTCAAAATGAAGGATGGTTTCTCGACTCCAACCAAGTGTGAGTCTTCTTGCTGAATCATGCGACCTCTGAATTAGACGCTGATTTCGTTACAGTGATGAAGATAACTTCAAAGCGACTTATTTCTATTCACAAGGACTTTTCAAAAAAGCTTATGAAGTAACAAGTTTGCATCCATAAGTCTCCTCTAACTATGCTTCGTTTAAGTGTTTTTTGCTGGATTTCCAAACAAGAAAACATAATAGAATCCATCTGATAGCACTGTACGACTCAATTCTTCGATGTTATGCCAATGTTAGTAAATCACAAACACTTACTCTACTCATATCTCTCAGGACCCCACAATCCAATGTGACGTTCAGAAATATCTGGACTTGTATGAAAACTTAATTCACAACTACAGTGATCAATTGCAATTTTGGGAAACTTCAATGAAAGTCGTGAGAAATGTTCGTGTGTGTTTCGATTCCACTTCGTTTCACCTTGTAATTCCAGATTGAAGAGCCATGGGCGACAAGCCTTTATTTACGTCATCTCTCCATGTTATGCTCAACCGTCGATCTCCCTGAGTACTGGCTAGCTTTCGCTCAATGTCCGGGTTTGGACGTAAAAATGAAAATGTTATTCTTCATTCTCAATATTAACCTTCAAGGCTGGCCCCCATTTCAAATTAGGATATTTAACGAAAGCTCGACTACTTCTAGAGGATCAATTACAACATACACATGGTTCCACAAAAGAAAAATTTCTTCAAAAATTGGAGAAAATAAAAGATTCGATAAGTGAATATGATCCACAGGAAGTACTACGATCTTCTTATCAGAAACCAATCTCTCGTTCAAGGTTGAAGAAGCTGTTCGACATATGGATTTCTCTATGAGCCGACGTCACAAAGATACTTCTGATGATTTATCATTGCCAGTTTACAAGTGCAGATCAGAGCAAACAGCTTTACGGTCAAAGGAAGATGTAGAGAAATTAACTAATCAGTTTCGTCAACAGTACGAATGGATGTTTGAAAATATGTGACAAATTATTTCGTTTCTAAATAAAACTTGTTTGAATTTAAACTGCATGTTTGAAAGAGCGAATGAACTTTTCCAGTCAGGACGCCATATTGACGTATCAGTCTAGCAACATTTCATTTTTGTTTTTGTCCGGTCAGCGAACGGTTGCGTCTAGTCAGAGTTTTTTTCACACGCCCTGTTGTATACAACACATTCAAATTACTAGTTCGCGCGGTTGTCTAAGATTTTCAAGGATGCTACCGTAACCCGGTGAATGTATAAAACGAGCTAGGGGCCGCAGTCAATACTTGGCATTGATCCAGCCAGTGCGTCGTGTGCAGCGTTCGGTGTGCGAGTGACCTCTATTTTTTAGTTCTGTTATTTCGTTTTGTTACATTATTATCTTTGATTATTAATTAATTGTGATAATTTATAATTTTTTTATTTTAAGTTAACATGTCTACTAAGGAAGAAACTGCAAGCAACGAAGATAACAGCACTCTCGTCCAAGCTGGGACTAAAAGAGCCCAGGACACCTCTGATGGTCCAGTTAGTAAAAAAGCGCATTTGGATGGAGAAGAAAGTAATTGATGCAATTCGCTATCTTCTAAAAATGTTTCTTCTCTCTAGACCAACTTGCTGTGAAAATTCTGATTCCATCCGCCGCTGTCGGTGCTATCATCGGTAAAGGTGGTGAAGCTATGAGAGCTCTCAAAACTGACAATAACTGCCGAGTTCAGATGAGCAAAAGTTCTGATACTTATCCAGGTGTCGTCTTATTTATTTATGAAGCAATGAACATATTTCTCTAGGCACTAGCGAAAGAGTGTGCTTGGTTAAGGGAAAGCTCCAAAATGTCGTTTCTGTTGTTGAGGCTATCATGGAGAAGATCAGAGAAAAATGTGATGGTGTGGCCGGTAGTGACGCTTTCGACCACAAGGGAGCCAATCGTGGCTCTGAGGTAATTGGATAAACCTGGTGACGTGAAACAAGAAATGCTTTCTTAGATTAAAATTGTTATGCCTAACACATCTGCCGGTATGGTTATTGGAAAAGCCGGTGCTAACATCAAGGATATTCGCGAAGCTTACGGATGTCAAATCCAAGTGAGATTATCGATTTCGCAATTGTGCTCATTAATCTCTATTGTCAGGTTTTCCCCAAAGCAGGATCTCCTGAAGCCAAGAATTCTCTTGAGCGCGTTGTTACGCTTGCTCATGAGGAACACGGTCAATTAATTTTGGCAACATCTAAAGTATTGGAGAAGGTCGCTGCTGACCCACATCATAGCAGTGAAATCAATAAAGAGGATTTCGGGGGAAAGGGAGCTGTAAGTGGAGCATGTCTTTATGCTAATTAAGAAATCAATTTAAGAACTCTTCATTCACTTCCAACTCGGGATACAACAATGGATCAGGAGGAAATTACGGAGGAAGCGGTGGCGGTAATGCCCCATACAATAACTACGGATACGGAGGACAAAACAACTCTGGAGGAGGAAAATTCCAGTATAATCCTATGAACGGTCTCGGAAATAATGAGGTTTGCCATATCAGCTTGACAGGATTCTTAATGGAGTGTATGTTTAGCTGTTGGCATTCTTGGATAATCTTCAAAACACTTTGAGAACATCTGGTTTCAATGAGGCTAGTGTTGCTGAGGTCATGCAGGCTATGCAGGTTTGGTATTATTAGCTTGGTGTGGCCTATGTTTTGCTTTCAAGGTGCTTGCTAAGTATAACATCATGGGCCTTGGTCTAGGATTAGGTGTTGCTGCCATGGCCCAGATGCGATCTGGTCAGGAACAACCTGCTCAGTTGCCTGCTAACCATGGTGTTGCAGGTTTCGGTGATCAGGGGTACCAAGCAGATCCCGTAAGTTTTCGTTAAATAGAATACTGCCTAATACGGTCTTCAATTCACTCCATCCTCCTCCTATCTCCTTTGGAGTCCTCATTGACCCAAAACGCATCTAATATTCCTCTCCTATTTCTAATCTTTGTTTCAGTCTTTCTGGCGAAGAGGATAATATCCGTACATTCTTTTTAAACTGTACGAGTTATCAATGAGGCGCTTAATTGCAGAAGCGGTTTAAGATCTTAAGGTCTGCATCATGTCTCCATCACGCTTCCTATTTTACTTTTCATTTCTTATTAATTTAATATTTGTAATAATCAATGCGGAGTACTGAGTTATCTCATTCCTATCTGAGCACAAAATCAGACCTTCTGATGTTGTATTTTTTATTTGTTCCTTTGCAAGCACTGTCTATAATCATGTATCTTAGTAAATATGCGCCCTTTGTCTTCTTTATTCTTTGATAAACCTTGTCTCATTTATTGAATTCTTGTTCACTAATTAAATGGTAAGCTTCTTCCCAGATCACGATCTTTGCGGTTTTACTCTTGGATCCTTAACTCGTGTTTCAGTCGACTTTTATTTCTTATACGATGTCTTCTATTACAAAAGGTTTTCGTCGTCTCAATCTTTCACGGTGCATGGAATAAACTTCCAGCCCCCTTGTTTTCCATTCAATATAATCAGTCAGTCATATCCGAATCTGGTTGCTCTATCTTTCTTAAGTCTTTCTTGTGCTCGAGGCTGTTTTCGCCTAATTTAAAGCTATTTCAGCTAAATGGCAAGTTCAGCAAGGCTCGCAGAGGCGCAGGAGTGCGAAAAACGCGCGGCTGATTGGTTCAGTTTGTTAGTTTATGAACGCAATTTATGAAATGGTTTGCAGCCTCAAAACTTCGATGATTAAGCTTAAGTTCAAACCGGACTTTGATGGCGCTGCCACTGCATTGGAAAGAGCATCAGTCTGCTATAGGTTTTCATTGAGAAGACTAGAATGAGTTGAATTCCGCTGTGTTTTATAGAAATGCGAACGACATTAAAAATGCAGTTCGTGTTTTGCTAGAAGCTGCTCAGCACTACGAACAGAATGGCAATATCTTCCATGCTGCGAAGTATAGTACTCTACTTTACTATGTAATATTATCGTTCAGGGCTCGTGAAGGAGCTGCTATGTTGTCTCGCGATTCTGGCGATAGTGCTAGCGCCTATACATATTTCGAACAAGCTATCGATGGGTTTGTAGTTGATATTCATCAAAGTTATCTTGAAAATATGTAGTTATGCAATGGCCGGCAGTTTGGATACTGCAGCTATGACTGTTGAGAAGGCTGCTAAAGTGATTGTCCAAGGGGAGCCTCTGAAAGCTATTCAGGTAGAATCTGATGTTGAAACGTATCTCTTAAAATCATCCTCGTTCAGTTGTTCGAAAAAGGCTTAGCCCTTGTGCAACAATCAGATCGGTCTAAGATGGCTGGAGAGTTCTTGAATCAAATCACAAAGATTAATTTAAAACTAGAGCGGTATAATGAAGCTGCTAAAGCTATTCGCGAAGAAATTGAAAAATATGTTGAAGTCAAGGTTCGTGCGGTCATTTTGAGTTGTAAATGATCTTTAACATTAGGAGAGTCCACGTGTAGGACAGTTAGCTATTGGATTAATATTGACTCAGTTAGCATTGGAGGATTCTGTTGCTGCAACTAAAAGCTTCGGCTGGGTTCTGAGGTTTTGAGTGAACTAAGAACATGAACCTAAGAGACTTTTAAGTGTTTGTCCTGACTTCGAATTCACCGATGATGCCCGAGCTTGCCAGCAAATGATTTATAACTATGAAAATGGAGATGATGAACAGTTCCAAAACGTTCTGAACTGTGGATCGTTGAAAAGCATGGATAATGAGGTTTTCATATATGCTTGAGTATTTCAATTATTTTAACATTCCAGTATTTGCGCCTACAAAAGAAGCTCAAAGCTCCTCACAGTGAGACAGCAGAGAACGGAGGCAACGGTGATGAGGATGAGGATGATTTGCGATAATGACATGTTTACATAAACAAAACTATTTATTTTGGTCGTGTGCCTATGTAGATATATTTATGGTTGTGTGGTTTTTTCAAACTCCATTTATGGCAGAGTTCCATTATATACCTTGATGTGATAAATTAAATCTAGTGTAGCATCGATTTTTAGTTTGATGAATGAGATCAAAACACACTTGGATAGTATACGCGGAGTATTTACCATTATAAGTGTGAATGAGCAGGAAGAAGCACTAAGTAACAGCATATACCATCTTCTGACAGTATTTATTTCTTCAGAAAGCTTCGCAGCTCTTCTTCAAGACCTCAATAATGAGCATTATAGGAATAGGGTTCAGGAGGAGGCTACGAAATCGGTAGCCGGCGAAGCAGAAAGAATACTAATGGCAAGATGACATGAAAAAGTTCTTTCTAAATGTGTACTCCAGGAACGATTTTCTAATGACTGGACCGGTTTTACCTTTCCTGATACTATGGGTTTAATGGGCGACTTTGGGGAACCTGAGTCAGCTAGGAGCAAGACGAAGAACGACGATACGACCGATAATGTGAATACAAATTTGTATCTCGAAATATGATGTACTTTGTTCAGGATTTCAATATGCACGGACTCAGTGACACAATCTCTTTTTTCTCTTCTGCACCTAAGTACAAGTGCTTCTCATGTGAATTCGTGGGGAAGAACAGAAAAGCACTGTATAGGTGAGTTAACATAACTCGGAGCTGAATATCAACAGTCAAACCATGTATAGGCATGGAATACAGAATGATCATCAGACCAAATTTGTTGATGCGGATAAGAGTCGAGCCTTCACTTGCCAATTGTGTAATTTCTCCTCTAACAGAAAATTCAATCTTGACCGTCACATACAAAGAGCTCATTTTAGTATACGAAAGTACGTTGCCTAGTCCGGTGATCTTCGTGATAGTCTGAGTTTTTCAGCCATTTCTGTGATCTGTGCCCAGCATGTTTCAAAGATAAGGACACATTGCGAGGCCATACGAAGAACGTTCATAAGTTCCAATCTCCTTGAAAACTTGTACATACATTTGTAATTTATATGTAAATAGTCTATAAAAAGTAATTTTGAATTGGAAAAGATTGATATTATCATTTGTCAAAGAACAATACAGGTCCTATTGATACCGTTACATCATCTCTTCTTCATCTCAAACTTATTATTTGCTTCGTAATAGTATGTTGAGTTTATCATTCATTCTTATGTTTTGTTCTAGACTTTCTTTGAGTCATCTTCAGAAGTCATTCCCTTCATTCATCGCTCTGCAAAATGTGCATTACATTCATTTTCAACAATCCTAATCTGGACGCCAAGTATCGACTGATAATTCTTAACAATCGCGATGAGCACATCGATCGTCCCACTGGCGAATTGGAATGGAGAAACGGCATTTTAGGAGGTACGTTCTCATTGATTGCTTTTCTTATCATTTGTGAGAGGCATGAATGAAAGATGAGTTTATGCATTTGAGGAATTGATGAACAAGACCCAGCTAGAGGAACATGGCTTGGCATGAATGCCCAAGGCAACATTGGAAACATTCTATCCATCACACAGCCAGCAGCTACCAAGAAAGCTGAAGCTCCTAGCCGAGGTTCTATCATGTTATAACACTCCTGAATCTCCTCCTCTAAACTTAGGAAAAATCCCTTCAAATCTGTTGAGGGGTAATTTATCTGCGAAAGAGTACTGTGATGAATTGGCAAAGGTGGGTACTCAGTACAACGGGTTCCAATTTTTAGCATTCGAACGGTATATTCTCACTCTACAAAACGTGTCTTGTAAGATATTCTTGAAGCTCTGAAGATAAGCATTATAACATGTATTCGGTAACGAATATGTACGTAGACAAAGTCGAAACTGTAGCATGGCCTAAAGGTTTTCACCCTCGTAACTCCTGAAATTCCTTATTCTGTAATAGGTGCTGTCGTGATAAGTAATAGTCCACCAGCTACTCCCTATCAGAAAGTTCTTTATGGAAAAGACAGGTTCTAGAGAGCATTTTTACATCCACCCAGTTGTTTCATCAGGTTAGATAAGTTTGTTGAAAATTTGACAGATGACATGGCGCCAGAGGATATAATCGATAAACTCTTGGACATTGGATGTGATAGAACAATGTAAGCTTCTGCTATTATAGTTGGGGACAAAATGAATGTTCAGTGTTTCTCCGGATCCTCAATATTGTCTTCAAACGGGATGTGATGATGCTTTTTGCGAGCCTTTCAGCTCGATTTTCATAAGCTTACCTCCATCACGAGGCGTGAGGTTATGAATCTTCCTTTTCAATATCTCACAACTCAAATCTCAGGTATGGCACGCGTTCTCAGAGTATCATCATAGTTGACAATGATGATAACGTAACCTACTTCGAGAAGCGAATGGTATAACCTAGCAAAATTGAAATTGACAATCTGCTCTTCTAGGTGGAATGTCCTGCAGTGATAGATGAAGCTAAATGGTCACAGAAGACTGTCAACTTCAAAATATCCCCTAGATCGAACTAATCTAATCTCTCAACAATTCATTGAGTTTTATATCAAGAAGAGTAAATATGGTATTCAATCTCGTTTTTTTCTGATTTTCTCATTTGAGAGAGTATTGGACTTATAGTTGCTGTTTCTGACTTTCCCGCTTAGCTTCCATTGAGCGTTCAGTCTCGGGGATGATAGTGGTTGACGTGTTTGAGCTGTCTTGCTGCACAGCTGGGTTATGAAAAATAAGAAAAAGTAATTTGAAAGTATTTATGAGATTAATGATTTTAAATGCATTCCAAAAACTGAGAAAATTATAGTTCATCGTATGTGTCACTTTCATAATGCAGATCCATGAAGTCCATTTCATGCGCTAAGACATCCTCGGCATCGAAATAGTTGTCGTCATAAAATCCTTCATTGACTATGAACTGATCGTTCCAGTAATTCTCAGCAACGCGTTCCATCTCTTCCTCGTAAGTAGGGTAGATATCATCCTGTATGAAGCTCTGACGACAAACAGAAGGAAAAAAAACTTACATCAGAAGAATCAGAATCAGAGCCATTGAAAATATCCTCTAGCAGGGCAAACATTCGGTGATTGCTTACAACTGGAATGGGTTAAGGTTCATAAAAGGTAACGAATGAAGATGCTCACTATCAACGGAATTCTCAGAGAAGGTGAAAATTTGATGACAGAAGCCATTGTTGTGGTCGTTAGAAGCCCCACGTTGGTTATTATCCATTGTTCTTCTGCAAGATTAGATAAATACATGAAAATTAAGGAGAACTCACCGATTCCGACTCGAGCACAGCTGAAGAATGACAGTTTGAGTAAGAGTTTAGCGACTACACTTTGATTTCATAATGGATCATGCCTCACGGCTATTGGTGCCGTTGTGAAATACAGTCCTTTCGTGTAATCCATAACTTTTACGATCTCGTATTACACACCCGAGAAGCTGTAAATAATTTGTATTCCCAAAATGAGTGATGAAATATGAAAAAAGCGCGCATGTATTTCGTAAACACAAATTAGCATAAGCCGTACGTGGTTTCCACGGAGCCGGCTTTAGCGTCATTTTATACTTTTGAACGAGGGAAGCGGTTGGAAGCTATTAATGAATGCACATGAACTGGTTATAATTTGTTTTGTTTTTAGAGTTTCATCGAATGATATGAAATGGCTTTCCGAATTCAAAATAGAAAACAATGACGATCAGGTATCAAAACACTTTTTTTTTGTCCAAAATCACTTCAAAGTAATAAGCGGTTGACATCATGTCCTTGAGTTGTGTCAGAATAGAAATGAAATCACACCATTCTGTCACACATTCCAGTTGCTATAATCAGTTAGGATGCGCGCTTCTTCCTTGAGGTTTTTTAAATCTTTCTCTCTCTCTCATATGAAACATGCTGCTTTAGTTTGAAGAAGCGCAATCGTTTAAAGCATTTATATTGTCTGATAACTGACTTGATGAGCTTTCAATTACTTCTTCTGCTTGATCCTTTTACATAAACCATAAAGACCATGTACCTTGTTCTTGAAGGTGGTCCGACGGCGCTATAGATAAAAACGCTCTGCTATCAGAATAAGTGGTCGCTAAGTATTGAAACACTCCCTAGGAATCATGTTTCCATGTTAATTCAGCAAGATAGAAATAGCACTAAATAGACTAACTGCTGGGTTGCTAAGTGAAATAGCAATAACTAGGTTTCCAGCCCGCCATTGGTCCACAATTGATTTTTCTTTCTATTTGTCTTATCAAACACATACTTCTCAGTATCATTTTCGTCTGTTTGCCTTGGAACAGTCAACTGCTATCTGTCTTAGGTCATCAGTCCAATAAATATCCCAAAAAGCGTCTGTTTGAATTCGACGCCAAATTGTAACCTCGCTTTTGATGGCTTATGAAAAATTTTTATCTATTTCTAGATAAGAAAGCATCATTGTAACTGTTATTGAATGATATTTGTTAAATTGAAGAGTTCAATCTCGAACTCATTCTGTTCTATTATTAGCCGACCGATCTCCTAGCTTTCGATCGGATATTTCAGTCGTGATTTGTCGTTTGTTTTTTCCGACCTTTGCGTACTATAGGATGCACTTTTAATTTTTTGCAAATTTGCAAAGTTGAACTTTGCTTCATGTTTTTTTGATGTAATTCCGTTCGTATAGTTAGTTATCGGCTTTCTTGTTATATGGCCTGGTTAACTATGCGTAAGATTAGAAATGTGATGTCACCTATTTTATATGTTGCTATCGATTTGAGCTACTATCTAAACTGAATGATTCATTGTACTGATTGCTTTTCATTTCCGTTTCATTATTAGGTACATTGTTCCTTCCTTTTTAGGTATGACCGCCACTGACTTTGTGGATATCACAACTAACTTTGTTGATGATGAGTCTTTGGGCCTTATTAGGAATTCAGTTTCTACTGTGAGACCAAAGCCCGAAGTGAAAAAATCGAGTACAAAGTAAGCTAGATTCTCAATTGACGGATGAGTAATGCTGTTTCAGAGTCTCGTGGCAAAGAGGTAGTTATTCCAAGGAAGCCGTTTTCGACAACGTTCCAAAATATGTATCGTTTATGGTTAATCTCGCTTTCTCCGTCATGTTCTTCTGTGGTTACTTTGTTGATTGGCTGAAGAACAAGAAGGTCTTGAGTGTGCCTAAAGCAACAGATGATCCACGTACTAAGGTAACTTCATTGTTTACACCTCCTCTGACACATTTCGTTTATAGAACTTTCCTCGTCTTGATAATTATTTTGAAAACATTTACATTAACCATATTTATCGCAAGTCTAGCGACGTAATAGGAAGAGCAGTGTGTAGTGTTCCTGGAAGTGTTCTCACTTTGAAGGATAGAGTCTCTGATAACTATGGATGGTCCTTCAGGTTAGTTATTTCTTTTTCTACTTCTGATCATCAGGTAGCATGTACTGATAATTCTGATAACGATGATAAGATTTCCTTTACATTTTTGTTTCAAATGCCTATTTATCAATGCTTGGCGAAACTTTGATCTTAGTTTCGAGAGAGCGAGAGAGAGAGAGTTCAAAATACTTTGAAGCCCCCGTGCAGAGTGTATTTTTAAACTTCTGCTTTTCGGAAGAAGAGGCTGTTCATCACAGAACACACTCGTCATAACTTCGCGTGTTTACTTGATTCGTTTAATCAAAAGATACAAGTATTAACATGACCGATCAGTTTCAATATTTTCTTGCTCTCAAGAATGTTTTGTCTGTCAATCTCTCTCTTCCTCTGCAAGTTATTTGAGCGAATGCGTTGAAATCATTAAAAGGCCAAGAAAACGGGTCTTGTATATGTGTATATTCCGCGTCTTGTGTGTTGAACGCATATTTCCGATCTTCAGTTGAACTTGAACCGACCACAGTGGTTAAGCATAATCATTGCAGGTATACTGGGAAAAAGCAGAAGGTTATAAACTTGGGCTCCTATAATTATCTTGGTTTCTCACATAATGACGGGGACTGTGCACAGAGTGCAGTTGATTTCATCGACAAATATGGTCTTCACATTGGAAGCACACCTCATGAGCGTGGTACTTTGTTCTCATTTTTCATATCTATATAACATCTCGAAATAGGATCTCACTCAGCTCACAGGGAAATGGAACGTTGTATTGCAACATACTTAGGCACTGAAGATTCTATTTGTTTCCCTATGGGTTTCGGTACGAACGCCATGAACATCCATGCATTAGTAGATAAGGCAAGATCACTTCTCGTGCAATCTTACGTTAGACATTTCCTCTTCAGGGTTCACTTATTCTTAGTGATCGTTTGAATCATGCTTCTATTGTGTTAGGTTGTCGGATTTCCGGAGCTACTATCAAAACCTTCAAACATAATGGTTTGTTGAACAACTCAACTAGAATCTCAAAGTCATATCTCTAAAGATGCTGAAGACTGTGAGAGAGTTCTTCGTGAGAATGTCAGCTCAGTGAGTCCCAAAACAAAGAAACCTTATAATAAGGTTCTGATTGTCATCGAAGGAATATACAGGTAAGATCATTTATAAGATCATTTCTGTATCTACTGCTTTCTCAGTATGGAAGGCACCATCGTTAATCTTCCTGGATTCATTGAAGTGAAAAAGAAGTATGGTGCTTATCTCTTTTTGGATGAGGCTCACAGTATTGGTATGAATAGCGCTGAATTAGAGTGTGTGAGATGTAACTTTAGGTGCTGTTGGTCCTTCTGGAAAGGGAGTTACTGAGTACTGGGGTTGTGACTCTCGAGACATTGACATCATGATGGGTACATTCACAAAAAGTTTTGCTGCCACAGGAGGATACATGGCTGGAAAGAAAGTGTGTGATACTGAAGTTTCATTTCCCATGCTTTCCTATTTAAGACCACCATTGATTATATAAGACAATGCTCTAGTGGGCCATGCTATGGAATTGGCATGTCGCCTCCTGTGATCGCTCAAATTATGAGTAGTATGAGAATCATGTTGGGTCAGGATAATACCGACATTGGAATCACCAAGTGTCATAACCTCCTCCGCAACTCGAGGTAGGATCTTAGTAGTCATACAAATCAGTAATTTCGATTATCAGATACTTCCGTAAGAGACTTCGTCAGATGGGTTTCCTTATTTACGGTCATGACGACAGTCCAGTTGTTCCACTCTTGACGTACTACATCACGAAAGTTGTGTAAGCAAATCGAATTTCCGAAGCGAGTCGAACAGTTTTCTTGCAGCATGTTCTCAAGAAGCATTCTCGAGAGAAATGTCGGAGTTGTTGCTGTCGGATTTCCCGCGACTTCCATCGATAAGGCTAGAATTCGGTTTTGTCTTAGCGCAGACCACACGAAGGAACAACTAGATTACGTGAGTGTTGAGTTTTCATAGCAGTTCTGAGAGTGAATGCTTCAGGTTCTTGACATGGTCGATCAAGTTGGAGACGAAACAAATACTAAATATGGACAACCCGAATTTCAGGGTGAAATTATAGAATATTAATTGTTTTTGTTTGTACGGCTACGGCTACGGCTACTTGTTATGATTTCTGCGAAAGTTTTATTAGGTATCTGAAACCTTGACTAGATACTCTTGCCAAATATGTTACGAACGATGTTTCTATCGTTCATATTACTGTTTGAAACAGCTATACTCATAATTTTTCTTTGTCAAAATATGAAATATATATATATATATATATACAGACATGGTTTATTCAAGCATTAGAAGTTTGTCGTGAGATTCTCTACTCTGCACACAAAAAAATATTTTAAAAAACCCCGTTTATTTGTTCCTGCCGATTATAGTTGCTTTATGCATGAAAGGAAAAACCTAAATAGAAACTGTAACGATCATACTGTAGATAGGGATTCTTACTTGGAATGCAGAACCATTTGTACATGGCTCCCCGTCTATGGCAAAGTACCCGGACTTCGTTTGTGGCTCAACCCGCACAGCTTTCACTGGGATGATCTGCAGTAAGACGGGTTTGTTGGGGGTGTTTGAAGAGATTGTATTCACCTGTAGACATGGATAAGACAGATGAATGCAGTTATTCATTCTTATGAACAAATCGGCTACATGAAATCTCGACTTGATTGTGTTCCAGTCGAGTAGTGTTAAGTATATGATATCTTTATCAAGTTGTGCTGCTGGCATGTAAGGCAAGTCAGAACCTGCAAAATCCAAGACTGATTATATCGTGTCGGGCTAATGACATACCTAAGTGAGAAGTTGATGTAACGTTCACCATGGCCCAGCATCCTTCAACTGTTTCCCATTCCGGCCCGAGTGGTTCATTTAACTTAGGATATTCATTTCCATGCCCTTCTAACGCCTCATTAATATTTGTGAATCCTTGGGAAGGGTCCTTAGACGAAACTTCTGAGCTTGCCTACAAAACAAAGAGCTCTTAAGATTTCATATATGGATGTGATTAACCTCTGTCACTGAGTCAAAGGTGAAATGCTTGTCCCCAAAACGGGATCGATCCACGTCATAAGAGAGAGTAGATTTACGAGAAGTCTCTTTGTCATTCACCGGCACATATGACACTTTGGCGTTATACTTCGCCACAGTGGGAAGTTCTGGAAGTGGATGAAATTGGTTTGCGACAGTTGAAAAGCTAATATACGTAAAATCCGAAGGATGGCTTCTATATGCAACCTGGCCATGCCGGCCCATCGGAATCTTTCACTTCCAATATCTTCAAGAATACTGTGAGTTCAGAAGTCTAAGGGAAGCCTACCTATATCAGCTATCAATCCCCAAGTGGCTGTCATGAACATAGGCTTTAATCCATCCTGTTCGGTCTCGACAGTGAAAAGAGGCAAGTTTATGAATCTGAAGAGGACAGAATTAAAAAGAGAGGTGTTTGCAAACCGTACATGGGATGAACCAGCATGTTGACACATTCTGTTATGAACACATCGCGAGCAGAGAAAGGCTCACTGAAAGTAGAGTTTATAAACTGCTCGATTCACCCTTCTTTTCATTTTCATAATCTAATTTTCGGAATCAAATCACAAACTTGCATGCAAAAAGAATAGACGCGGCTAATCCATTACTGGTTCCACCTGGAATGTGGCAAATAGGAATCTTCAAGGCTCTCTCTCTGTCCTTCCTTAGAAGAAGCCCACAGATCACCTATAAAACCGCCATCGAATATGTCTCTCTCTCTCTCGATTAACAAAAACCTCGGAAATAAGGCCGTCTCCACTATTTACAGCTATAGCATCATAGTCATCAATTCTCAAAGTTTGGGCTATTTCGGTTCCATGCCCTGGCCTTTCTGAAAACGGCCGAATGTTTATAGCACGAACTATTTTGTAAATTGTTTATCAGTTAAGATCTCGAGGAGCCAGCAGTGCCAAGTACTTTGGATGATAATACTTATCACTTGTATTTTCCGTACAATTGAACTCAACATTTTGAACAGAGATGCCACAGTAACGATACCTGTCATTATAAGATCAAACTCTAGCTGAGCTTCTTGAAGAACATGAGCTCCATAGTTATTCCACAATTGCAGTGCCTTCTTTTGCCCACTAAACGGGTTAGTTATTATTAGAACCTTGTTATTAGGTTTGCTTTTGAGCAGATGTGCTATAATACGTGAAATAGCGACTTGGACAAGTAGTAATGGCTTACGAGGTTTAGGTCTTGTGATTCGTTTCCTTATTTCATTATGAAGCTTTTCACAAACTTCCACATCATTAAAATTGAAAATAATCTCTTTTCGCAGACGTTTGCCGCTTGTGATAGGATAAGCCGTGATTACAAGTTGAGCATTTGGTTCTGAAACGATTAATTAGCTTTGAATGTGAAAGGTGGGCATTCTATTTGTTTTCGTACTGAATGTATGCTAATGAGCTGTGCGCCGCATGATACATTTCATTTTTCAAACATTGGATGCACAGAGCGGTTGTTTATCGATTAAATTGAAAGGCAAACTAACTTTCGATTAAATCACATCCTATAATATCAGTCAGTTTTATAACATTGTTTTTACAAAAAACTTTGCCCTTACTTATACGAAAAGCATAATCCATTCGTCTACACTGCTGAAAGAGAAGTCTTGAAGATGGAGGGAAGAAGAAGAATCAACAAGAGGGATGGCAAAGGTGCAAAACAATATGGACTATTGAGACGAGTTCGTTTTGAAATATGGTTTGTTCTAAATTGGTCGATGACATCATTAAGGTCAAAGAGCTTTCATGGCATGCTGAATAAGGAATGCTTGATGATAGGATAGTATGGGAGAGTCAGATTCCAGATAAGGAAAGAAAGATGAGCAATCGATAACATGATCAAACGAATGACCTTCCGACGAGAAGTCTGAGGATCGGGGAAATTGGTTGGCAATACGTAACACACGTTAGTGTTGGGCATGGGCAATAAAAGATATTTTGACAGAATGGTGATGAACGGAAACGAAGGTTTGTCTATGATAGAGTAGTTGATAAGTTTTGTGTGTGAAGGAGATATTCTAGTAACATGAGAAATCTTTCTAATCGTGGCCAACAAGAGGAGGAAGAGGAAACACATGGAGAGGGCAGACAGAATGAGATCACAAAGAAATACTGAAAGGAGAGGGAGGATGGGAGAAAGATAAGCGAAACAAGAGAGACAATAGTATAAACTGAGAATGAGAGATCGGCAGGTGAGCATGAGAAAATCATTACGAAACATAAATATGAATTGTATGGGACATGAATGAAGTTATACGGAATTGTGCTTGTCTAATCCAATTGGAAGCAAATTTATAAAATTAGCACTCCGCCTCAAAGAATTTCCTTATCAACAAATTTGCGCGAATCCAGATAATACAAAGAGGAGGTGAATGAATGATAAGCTTGAAAACTTTATCTCAAACTTTCATCTATATTCAGAGCATTATCAAATAAGATATTGAAAAACAACAACATGAAACGTTCTCTCTTCAAATAAATTGCTTCTTCAGTTGCAGTTGAGATACTACCTGACTCGAAGAAACAAGTTTTCCGTATTTGAAACATTCGTTTCAAGATCATTATGAGACATATAAGAATAGGTAATTATGCTGAGCATTGTGTAGACTCAATCAAGCAACTTACAGACTTGGCTGTTTCTTTCTCAAAAAAGGAAATCGCAACCTTTCCAATGAATAGAGGATGGTTATAAAGTGCGTTTGTTAAGTATGTGCTACCTCTTTTTTCGCTAATAATTCAATGATTACAGGTTGTGTCAAGCGAACGGAATAAAAGGAGAACAGAGAATCCAAAAAATGATGTCCCTCTCTCTTCCTCAATTTATTTTGATCGTTGGCCAAAGATCTTTTGACCATCTGCGTTTAAAGTGTGTGTGAGCTTCTTATCATAGTCCACCTCGGAGGACCTATCATATTAAGGCCGGCTTATCAATATTTTGATTCTTCTCTACCATTTTGTTCTTACCTTGCTTTTATCCCTAACAGTTTTTTCGCCACACTTCCTTCTAGATCAATCATTATAAATTGCTAACAGTGTCATTAATCTTTTGAAACTCAAAGCTTCTAGCTTTCTACCCTGCGCTCAAAGCTTTGTATGGGCTAGGCTCCCCTTTTCTCCCTCAACTTCAGACACTTGCGTTAGTCTTAGATGTTTGATTTTGCCCAGAACTCAGAAAATATAAACTTTCTCTCTGTTTTGGTTGAGGGTTATCATCTCAGCACCTGTTTTCTAACTGATAATCGAAAAAACATGGGTTCTATTTGAGTAGAAAACGTTTTTTTCACAAATCCTGACTTTTTGACTCTTCTAATCTTACAGGTTCACGTGATGGATCACATAACTGTACAGAAGGATGATGAAACCAATATAATACGGGTGGGTAGCTTTATACTTTCCATAAAAACTCTCTTTCCTGGATTTTCAACCCAGTTTATCTGTATGCAACCGCTCTGCGCGTCGTTATTAAGAAAAATGGAATTGAAATTAAAATAAGCTCACGTGAAGTTTTTTGTGCGCTGAGTTTTTTCTTTAAAAGTTAAATGATCGAATGTTTGAGGAAGATTACAGGGCTTGACACCAGATGATTTGAACGACAGACCGAGAACAGTCAGTGCGACCAGCATCACCCGATATGAAAATCTAGACGCTGATAAAATCTTGAATGCTTATGGCAAATATGGAAAATATCAGGTATCCATGGTTGACACTTCCTGATAGTTTTGGATTCATTCTAGATGCGTGCCTACATCATAACAAGTAGTGTTCATCTTCTTTTTGCAACAAATATGATGATAATGCCTTTCATCACTGAAAAGGCTCATTTCTCGTGTGCCATCAATGAACCTGAGAACAGTAATTGGGTATCGTTCTTGAAGAATAAAAAATTCTCAACATTGTACTCAGGTGTATACGGTAGTTGACAGCTGTAATATTCTCGATAGTAACAATTGGACTATTGGATGTACGAATATACCAGGTGCCAGGTTAGTATGATTGTATTTTCTTTGACTTATTGAGTGTTCAGCTACAAGTTCGATGAAAGCAGTAAAGCTTCGATTGCTTCATCGTTTGATCTTGTATGTGATGATTATTCTATGGTTGAGCATGGTTCTTCAGCTTTTCTTCTAGGTTAGTACATTCACAGTCAAACTTGTTCATGTAAGTTCCAGGTGGAATGATCAGTGGACCGATCATTACACAACTATCTGATATTTATGGAAGGAAGATTACCTTTGTTATACCGTTGCTTGTTGCCTTCATTTCAAACATGCTCTGTTGTTTGTCATACAACTTTCCCATGTTTTTGATCTTACGATTCATCGCCGGAGTTGCAACTACAGTTTGTTTCCTCTTTTTGGTAATTCTATTATCCTTTGTTCCAGAGTTACTCTCTGACCGCTTCTGTACTATGCATGGAATCAGTTTCCACCAAATTCCGTTCTATCCTACCATTGTTGGGAAACTTCGCTTGGGTTCTTGGGTGAGGACAGCGACGAACTTAGAACATTAGAAGATCTTCTCTTTTACAGTTATATTCTGGCTGGATGTATTGCCATCTTAGACGTCAACTGGAGAGTCATGTATTTCATAGCTTCCATCCCGGCCATTTTCGTGATACCAATGGCTTGGTATGTTTCTTCAAACATCTCTGTCCTAATACAACCCTTTAGGAAATGCCCTGAATCTTTGAATTGGTTGATTACAAAGAATAAAACTAAAGCTGTCCGTAGATACATTCATGCTTCCACGAGGTTCAATGGACAAGCTTTAGTTCTCGATGATTGTAAGTCAGCTAACGTCAGCGCTCCTGAAGTGGTTAGTTGTATTATCAGCTACGGGGTCTTACCTTCGAGCTCTATTTTAGAAAACCAGAACTTTCATGGACATTCTTGGTCATTCTGCCTTGACTATCACTTTGATCTTCAACTGTTACATCTTGTGAGACCTCATATAGTACTTCCATGATTTTCATTTTCTTAAGCATCGTTATGAATGGAACTTACTGGGCCTTATCTCTCTATTCTGTGGATTTGAGTGAAAACAAGAGACTCGGTTTCTTCCTGTCTGGGGTCGTCGAGATTCCTGCGGCTCTGCTAGCTTCATACTTAATGGTTTCACTTTCAAGTTTCCTTGTTTCACTTGGTTCTTAAGGTTTTCTTCAAGAGAAAGACAGTTGCCATTGGAGCCTTGCTGTTGACATCAATCTGTATGTTCGTAATGGTTTTCATTTCGAGTAAGTATCTATATGCATTCGGTTAATAATCATAATACAGTGCCATCTGAATTCGCAATCATCCTTCCCCTTGTCGCTAAAGGATTGAACACCATTGCCTGGTCTGTCCACCCATTGTTGGCTGGTGAAGCTGCACCTACATCCGTGCGAAATGTGTACAGTGGAATCACATCTTTTGTAGGTGATGTCGGAGGAGTTGCTGCCCCATACCTGAAGAGACTTGTAAGACTGCAGATGCTCTAAGTTCAATAATGACAATGTTTAGGAATCCGTCAATATGAACGCTCCAACTCTCCTTATAGCCATCATGTCCACGTTTGCTGGTCTCTTCGTTTTGATCCTCCCGGAAACTAAAGACAAGCCATTGCCTGAAGACCTAGGTTAGTCCTTTCTGATAATTCATCTAAATCGGCTTTACAGACTCGTTCGATGATGGGCCAGTCATACATAGACTCTTAAGTCTGTTTTCTAGAGATAATAGAAAGAAAAATTTGTCGGAGGTAAGTCTTTCAGCTTATTGATAAGACATACGTATGCTTGTTTTCAGACAGCTCCAATGATCATCGTGAAGAGTGAACAAGCTTAATTTTATAAAATGAAGAATCTCGATATGTGATATAATTATACTTGCATGCAATAAAACTAACACTGAGTTCAAGGTTCAAAAGCTCTTGTAGCTGACGGACGAATTGGAACCGTTAAGATGTCTCAGACGGTAGCTTTCGAGATGATCGTTTGGATTTCAAGAAGAAGAAATCAAACTCTCCACTACTTTCTTTTTGTGTTTTGTCGATGGCATAAGTAGATTCCATCGTCGAAAGCAAAGATTCAGTAGGTGATAGAGTGTATTGTGTAAGATCATCCGAAAGTTGGTTCTTTTCCAAACGAAAGTTGAGTTTCCATTTCTTTTGCCAGGTGCGTATGAACTTGGCTCTTTCAATTCTTCTCTCGTTCTAGAAATAGCTCAATAAGTGAAGAATCTGTAATACCGTAGAAACCTCAAAGATTGCGTAATGAAAGGGAGAACTCAACAGTATGAGAAGAGCAGAAAAAGAAAGAAAATAAGAGAAGTACTGAAAATATGTGGTTTTAGAATGAAAAAGCAGAAGGAGGGACTCACTTTCGCAAATCTTTTGTGTTTCTCTGGTATTATAGAGGAACAGGGACGTATACATGTTTTACTCTCACAGAAAGAAACATTCTGGAGATGAGAGATAGAAAAAAGTTTGGAAAAAAAGGATGAAACTTACGGCGTCCGCGTTCCATCCACAGCAACAATAGAATTGGTATGAATCCCAGACGCTCGAATCATTTGTTCCTTGAAGATGTTTTTGTTCGAAAGCATCGTTCAAATGGTATTGTTGTTCATGAAATGCCAAATACAGGCCTGGAAGAAATCAATTATCGTGAAAGATTCGTGATTACCAGATATCAAGAATGGGATCGTTATGAGCAATTGGAAGTAGTTTGATATCACAACCAACTTTTTCTTGAATACGTTGTACTGCAACAGGTAAATGATCAGAGTTCCAGGATTCGGGAATCACTGGCAGGAAGGCAGAGATTGAAATAGAAAAAACTGAGATGAACGAGACGAACGAACACAGGAATAATCCAATGTAGAAATATCGGAACTCCGGTTGTTCATCTTTTTCTGGTAAGTCTTCTCTCAAGCCTAATGTGATACTTTTTTCAGCAACTGAAATAGATAGTATAGTATAAGTGAATGAGACAGCTGGTTTACTCAAAAAGAGAAAACAGCATTGAACTAGAGAGCCAACTTTGAGAGCAACCAGTCCATACCTCGTCATAACAGAATATGAGAATGCACTCGGGTTTCACGTAACTTTACGTGGAATTTAAAACACGTAGCGTCATCACGTCGCCACGTCATGAGAGGAAGACCGACCTTTGATTGATGTTCCCCTATGTGAAAAAAAGAGAGAAAAAAGAACTTTGAGGTGTTTGTTTGCCCTGGAATCACTGTTGTCTATCTCTTCTGCTTCTTCAACTGGTTTCGATCGACTCTCTAATGTTTCATTTAATCGTTTCGTCATAAGTTTATTCTCTTTAGTGCACATGAAGTCTCATGTTTTCTTCTTCTTCCTTCTGATAACATCATCATCTGAATCATTTAAATGTTTGGATGACACAGAAGGAACTGTCGATTGTGATGGATTCTGCTTGAAAACAGCACTAGTACTACCAGGCTCCCCAGGTTTTCCCACTTCCAACACTCTTATGTTTCTCCATTTCAGTATCGTTACATGCCATCCATCGCGAATGCACTTCACATATTGAAAATCAGATAGTAGGATGTACAAGAAGCTCAGATGATATGAGTCGTCGACGTCTGGGTCCAAACATTATCACTTGCCTTTGTGATTCCGATCTTTGCAATTTCTGAGTTGTATCTCATTTGATATTTCCGCTCCAAATCCATAAAAAAAGAACATTTACGCTTTCTCTTCGAACGTCATCATTGACTGGGAAGTTCGTGGGTGATGGGATTGACGTGCAGACGACGAGAATCGAATTTCCTATTTTCTGCTTTTTGAAAGGTTAAAAAACAAATAAACAAAAGCAAAACAGCATAAAAGAAGTTTGAAACGACATCTTTCTCCTTCACTTCACATCTCAATGCTTCATCTTCTTCTGATTCTCTGTGTTATATCATATCCATGTTTGGGTTTCGTTGCCAACTCTCGCTCAGTAAGTTTATGTGAAGTTCAGATCTTTCAAAAATCTCCTCATTTCAGAATAACTATGGTGATGTGGATGATTGGGTGAATCAGATAGTCCGAAGAGAATCGTATGCTGGCACTCGTCAACCTTTCAAAAACAACGAATTACCTTGTGAAATCTCTTGTTTAACCTTCCGTCAATGCTTGAATGACTTGAAGAATCCAATATGTGTTAAGCCTCTGTACTGTATTTGTTGAAAAAGAAAACTTTTTTTTATATTCGGCTCGAAGCAAACTGACTGGTTTTTTCCATTTTTTCTACTTTCCAATCGATACGTTACTCAGATGAACACTCAAAATGAAAAGCGTGTCTATAATCAACCGATCTGCTCGTCGTCAAAAAGTCAAAATAGAAAATGACGTGGGAGAGAGCACGTGAAGTTCATTAACATAAGACGAATGAGTCGATATGTATGCAACGTGTACAGTGAATGTGCTAACGAAGACGTCGAACAGAATAAATAAGCAAAAAGTAAGTCATACGAACGGCCATCGATCGAAGCATCCCAGAATAGCAGAACATTAATTAAAATAAATAAGTATGTTATCATTCATCCGAAATAACAATAAAAGTTATTTATAGACGACAAATCTCTGTTATCAAGTAATCTGTTTGGAATGAGCGAATGATTGAAAAGGTTCGTTGACCTTCCTCATCAGCTGCTTCAGGCTATTTCATCATTGAAATATACCATTTTCATGTTTTACAACATAATGTTATCGGATATGTAGAAGTTTCTTTAGGTGCATCATCAATCTCTCCCTCAACAGTCTGTTTCGATAGAAGACGAGAAGGCGAAGAGTCTTTGTGTTTCGTCATCTCCATCTCCTTCTTCTTCTTCATCATCATCATCATCAACATCTCTCTATCAACAACTGCAGTCTATATGTGAGTCTCTCAAAGCATTTTTTAATCATCTTGTTAAAAATTTTTATTTCTCGTTAATAAGCTTAATCAAATCTGTCTTTGATGTCGTTGTCGAAGTGCGTCATCATAGAATTTAAAAATAGAATATTATTAAATGATTCAGATGAAAGTAAAGAATGGAGAAATAAGATCTACAGTATCAATTGCTTGTTATCGATTTACTCAAATCACCATCAGCATCGTCGTCGTCTTCTTCTTCTTCTTCTTATTCGTCTTCTTCCTCCCCTTCTTCCACATCTTGGATTTGTCATCACTTTTTTTCTCCTCAGATTCTATTTGAAGATGAAAAAAAGATTGTACGGACTTAGAGCAGAATGTGTCTTCTTCTTCATTCTTTCCATTGTCTCTCATCTATCTTTCACAGACTTCTTGATGAAAAAAAAACTTTTTCCTTCTTCAGTACCGTCGATGACATCTTCCCTTCTTTTCCTTAACGTCCTCTCAACCATAACAGCTGTCCTTCCTCTTTTCGTTCAAATCATGACGAGGAGAGTCGAAGAACAATTGTAAGCCTTACTCTTCCCTCCATCCAACCATCTTACTCTATTTATAGCTCGAATCGTTTCATTTTACATATTTTTGTCTTCCTTTTTTGTTCCTTTCATTGATCGTCGAATATTTTCGGAAAGCGAATGAACGGCGACATCTTGGGACTGTCAATGGCGTTGTTATAAATTATAACTTGATTACAACCTCTAAACTTGTAACATTGCTGTTGGAAAACTTTCGCTTCATCAATTTCCTATGAGTCCCTCCCGACAGTGAGGAAACCTCTCAACATGTATTTGTATGAATTCAGTTGTATCCAAGAAGAGAAGCTCACAGATGTTGTCTTGGAGCTGTCGTCCCTAACGACGGTGAATGAGGTCGTCTAGAATTCTCTCTCCTGAAGATTCTGAATAGCCATTAGACTTCATATTTGACCTCAATATGAGCAGAACATCCTTGTCGTCTGTATTCATCAAAGCTTGACCTCATAGCCGCATGTGCCCCCTCCCACCAACTTTCTTTTCGCGCAAACGTCAAAAATGAAAAATTCAGTTGTATGTTGAAGCTCTGAAACTTTTCAAACAATCTTGCTTATTGATGTTTCTGAGTTTGCAGCTTATCTTTCCAGACATGAAGCTTCTCGCGAAGACCATCGTCGAGGCTTCATAAACTCTGCCCAGACTTTCACCATCTGGATGTCATCTGATAATGTACAAACCCAAATTCTTATATTTCCAACAATTCTTTTTTTCTGCATTGTCTTCTCGTTCATATCCCTCATTTCCTCATTGGCTTCTCTCTCTGAAGACACGAATACATAAAGCCGACAACTAAGAAAGAATTTGAGGCAGAAGCACATAGAATGACGACGAATAAGCTCTGAGAAAGCGGCGAGCTAGAAGACATCGAGTCTCTTGAATTGACGATGACATGCCACGAGAGAGAGAGATGGATGCAGAGAAGCTGCTTCAGACTTCAGACACGCAGGCAAGAGCCGAGCAATAGCTGGCATTCGTTGTCGTCGAGAAAACTTCAGAAGTTAATTTAGATGAGTGTAGAGTGAAAAGAAAAAGAGAAAGAAGGAGTGGAAAAAATGGAGAAGAAATGAAGAACCGAGGCTATCTCTTGGCGGAACGCTTGTTATATTCTTCTGTTTTTCTGAGGACATTTGAAAACTTTCCTCTTCCCCCCACCTATCGATGTATAGAAACGTCACAAACGGCTTCGTTATATCGAAGCTCATGATGTCTCGTTCAGATTTCTTGAACGATGTGCTATCTTTGATACTGCTGTGAAGACTCTTGTCATCTTGGCAGATATCGTTTTGAGTTTATCTCTGTCGACTCTTCCATTACTTATGCTTCCATTTAACTTCTTCGTCATAGATATGTCACATGAAGATGTATTTGAACGCGAACTGCTGGACGTGCTAGTTATCATCTCTGTTTCCCTGACGATCTTCTGCCTACATATTGGCGTTTTCACTTCTATAATTGGCAATCTCATACAAATGTCTAGCCCTTCCTCGTTTTTAACCACACCAATAGAGCGGTAATTCCTTGCTACTACTTGATGAAAGTGCAGCTGTGAATGAAGAGAAATGAGAGGCTATTTTGGTATTCATTCAATGCAAACTTCTTGTCATCACTGTCATCATCTACACGGCGTCTGCAGAATCCTCTCCCAGATGCGCCGCGTCGGCGTCGTTTTGTTGATTCGGTCCCAAACTATCTCTCTGCTCTCCCCTTCTTCTTGCTGTGTTGGGCTTGACATCCACTGCCTGCACACTCCGTTATTTTCATTTTATTTTTTTTTGCGTGTCATTCAGACACCAGCGCGCATCTTTTGCATTTGCTTCAAAACTACTTGGACGTCGTCATCGTAGAAGATGATCCACAAGTTGGAAAACGAGCTAAAGGCCAACCCTGGGTCACAGTCGTTGTTAAGGCTTGAATGTTGTAGTTAAAAACTCATTTAACACATCGCCTTTCCATCCATTTTTTGTGAGATAGCGAAGGTCCTGGAGATCGCATTGTTCTCAACTAAGTCTCCTATCTCTTTCATCGTCATTTTTCCAGACCTTCCACACATCGTCATCTGCCTTCAGAAGATGGTTTAGGCGCTCTTCAGTCACATTATCGCCAATTGCGATCGTAATCTATTGTTGACGACGACGACGTTGCTTCGAAAAGTCGCTCCTTCTTCTCCTACATATTCATTTGACCATTTGTCTTCGAATCTATCCATAACTTTTCATTTTTGACTATTTTGCCGTTCATTTCAAGATATTATGGTTATCGTCATTAACTGATTCCATTCCAAAACATTACTCTTCCTCCTTCATTCTCCTCTTTCTTTTACTTCTTTTCTTGTCTTCATCTTGTTGACGACCATCATCATCATCGTCTCCAGCAACGTCTTCTACATTCATGGTACCCTGGCCAGCATTGATGTCACTATGTTGCCTCAGAAACAGGAGAGAAACAGCAAATGACAAAGATACAAGAAGAAAGGAAGAAGAATGTGAGATAGATGGAGAAAGCAGATGTATAGAGTCATCTCTGTATCATACAGAAATCATGAGAATTAGAGAATGAGAGAAAAGATAGATGATCGAAATACAAGAAAGAGAGAGTAAAATGAGAATGGAACGAATGAAAACGCAAAAGGGTCTGGTCTGATTGTCGTGGACGTTGACGTCGTCGTCGAAGCAATTCATCGCCTCCATCTTCATCATCGTCACCATCGCCGTCCTTTTGTGATGTCTCTCAGAAGCGTTAGACATCTGTATTGCTTAATTCCAAGCATCGCAATCGAAATCATCAAGCTTTTTTTCATTTTCCAATTGCAAAGTGTTTGAATAACTTAATATCATGCAGATTGTAATCTATCATCCTTCTTCTCCTCATCCATAAGAATCGTTCACTCCTAACCTCTTTCTGTTTATTCTAATTTCGAACGTAGTCTGATTTCCACGTGAAGCTCGGATCTTGGGATTTACGTGATTTCGCGTCATGTGTCATTTTACTAAATTGTTGGCCTCTCGAACGGTTGGTTCACACTCTCCCTCTTACTACATTCTCTTTTTCATTTAAATTCATTTTCCTCTTCTTCTTTATTTTTTTTCTCTCTTTCTTTCTCTTTTCAAATTGTTTCACTGACTGCTACGCTTGTTTCCCATATGGTCATTTTCTTCGAAAGATCTTCTTGTAAACTTTGGGTTGGAAGAATGTTTAACTTCTAAAG